AGGATAAAACTTCACACTGAGTGATTCTCTGATGTGCTAGTTAAACGTTTGATATCAGCTGAAGAAAGAACAGCCAGTGCACTGATGCTTTCTGAGTTCTTTTGAACTAGCAAAAAACGGGATGGCTAATGGCTTAAAGGGACCCCCTTCTGCTGGTGATGCAACGTCCTTCCCCCAAACAACGTCACCACTTCTGGCAGCAGCATTTGACCACTTCACATATCACACGCTGTTATTTAATGTTGCAATATAGCAATTTATTGAAACATCGCTTTGATCTTTATCAGGAACTAGCAGCTTAATGAATAGTGCCTGCTCATCACATGGACCTCGATGTTTGTTATTCTACATATGTAATTGTAGGGCATAATCCCTCAAGATTTTCCTCCAATTGAAAGAAATGAGAGGACTACATCCCAAATGTTGTGGATTTTTTTCCTCATGCATTAGAAATTAGGGATTCATTACCCCTCACCCTTTTTTTTCCTGTATCCAACCTTCCAGAACTCCATTCATTTGGTCCAAGAGGTATCCCACCATGAAAAACATCAACATAAATATTGATGAACACAACCACCTTTGTAGCCTTAATACAGTGTTTAGATAAGGAGAGAGGGGGGAGGGGGAAGGAGAGAGAGGGAGGGAGAGAGCCCCCCCCTCAATATATGGTGCTCCAGGGATCTGGTCCAAATAGATAGTCCTCTATGCTCTTTTGCCAGCTGACAGATGGTAGCATTTTTTGTTCAGTGCTTAAATTACTGTACTCGACAGCAGTTTCACTTGATTCCTACCATGCTTCCCTTTGTAAGCATTTTGAATGGCAGTTAGTTTAGGAGGTGGTGAATCTCAGGCCTTTCCAACAGCCTCAGCATCATGGTCAGTCCTCATGCATGATGAGGGCTGGAATCCTGGAACATATGGCTGAGTTCTAGCTTGAGGGTCAGATCTGTCAGAGCACTTGGCTTTCCACGATAGTGCTGTTGCAGTATAGCTCCTTTTAGGTATGGGGACAAATATGAAATCTAGTTAAGAACAATCTCTTCCCTGGACTGCAATGTCTAAATTCATCCACAGATGGCCAGATAATGACAGTGCTTTTTAATGCTAACTTTCAGCTGGAAAATACCTCAATAAGCTTATTGTGATGTTGGTAGAAACATTAAAAATGGGAGGAGGCAATCTCAATAATGTTAAAAATCCCTTTCTCGTTTTCTTCACTGACAAATAACCTGGCAGCTCAATTTCTTGTTGCCCTGGTCTCCTGAAAAAGAATAATAATAAAAGAGTTTCCACTTGTGAAATAATCCAGTTCTGCAGAGGGGACTGTCAGCCTCTGATTGAAGGCCTTCAGCAAGAGAGACTCCACTACTCTTCTAGCATGCCACTTCTCATGTGCTCACAATGAAGTCATTTCTTGTAAGGTTCAACTAAAATCTCTGTTTAGGTCAAGCCATGCCTTTGGGGAGGCAAAGAGCAAGTCTTTGCCATCTTTGATGATATTAAGTAGAATGTTGATGTGTTGTGTTGTACCCTTTTAATAACTAATATTAACTGCTACATTTTCCTCTAGACAATTGTTGGTAATCTTTTAAATTACACTGAGGTAGTTCTGTAACAGTATTTTGATCCAGAATATAGGAACCTGTTCTGACCCAAACTATTTTCCAATAAAACAAACATGAACCAAAAGGAACAGAAACCTTTTAATGATTCTTACAAATCCCCAGGCTGCTGCAAACTAATTAACTTTAATAAGCACAAGCCTCACCAAAACTGTGCGAGGCTGCCAAAAATAACAGATAAGGTTACCTAGAAATATTTTACAATGCAAGAGTCTTCAAATACCAACTAAGATACTGCAAGGTCCATGAGTTTCGAGTTTCAAAACGTCTTTGCTTCCTGCAAAGAACGTTCACTGCACAGCTGCCTTTTATCTTCTTGGAGGAGGGGCCATTACCTTGCAGCCTTACTGCCAAGTTGCCCATGCTGCTGCAGCTGCTCTTTCCTATGAGCAACCCTGCGCACTTGGCACAGGCTCCTCGGGAACCTCCTCATCGCTGCTGCCAGCCCCCACAACCTCTGAAGGCAGCAGTCCACCCCCTGATGGTCCTGGCCCCTCATCCAAGTCCTCGCTCTCCTCAGCCGTCCGCACCTGCTGCTGGCTAACTACAACAGAACCAGAGGTCCTCTTTAGCAAGCAGAAATCGTATATAAAAAAAAATAGAGAATCACATCTGAAGCTAGATGATGATGATGATGATAACCATAATAACAATGGAAAAAAATAACACAATGTGTGCCTTTAATGCTTGTAGTGATCTTAATGAATGAATTAAAAGCATTGAAGTTTATTTAAACAACTGCAAAATTTCAATCCTCTAGTCTAGCACATGGGTGCAAACTCATCATGTCATGTTTCCGTCACGTGATGTTTCATGATATTTTTCCCATTCATGGAGCTGGGGTGGGCGTGAGCTGGGCGTGACGCATCCGCCCAGTGGGTCACCAGTTTGACACCCCTGGTCTAGGAGGATTGGGAAGGGAGATATCACAAAGCAGAATTGAAGTGATTCATGCAGGCTGTGGTTTGATTACTTGTTAAACAGGAAAGGGATAAATGATGGGCTTCTATATAATTATGGGAGGTAGGTGTGACTGCATGTGGGTATTATTATTTTTTTTTACTCTAGATCACGAGTTCTTTAACTTTCAGGACCAAACCAGCTTCCCCATATAAATGATTGAAGATGAACAAGACCCTTTAAGCTGAGGTTGTGGCTACCTCATATACCACTGGCAACTCTGGTGACAGATGACAAATATCTTGAAGTAAAAAGCAATTTACCAGAGGATACATGCTAGGAAAAATGGAATGCGTGCCAAGTGCCCAAAGGCTTTCTCCAATGTTTGATTCAAAGCCTGTTCTAATTTGCTCTAACACCCTAGCGTTCCCCCGTTCATGAAATATCAAATATCGTGTTCTATCACTGCACCTTTTTTTAATAGACATTGGCATTTGGAAGAGGCTGGAATGATCCAACAGGGCCGTCAATGCTATTCTCATTTTTCTCTCTCTCCAAAAGTATACCCTAGCCCTTTGTAGCATCAAAGCTGCAAACTGATTTTGGGATCAGGGCGGGAAATTACGGCACCTATTCTTCTCAACACGGCTTGGGCTGCCCCCCCATGGGGTTTGCACTACCAATTAGTGTTCTGCCTGATGGATGGCTGCACATTGGATGCTCATTCAATTTGCTTATTGGCGCTGTGTCTGTGTCTGCTTTTTGCTGCCTGCATTGCAGATGGAGGCAGGCACTCACGTGGGGTTAAAAAGGCAGAGAATGGGGCGATTTCAAACACAGAGGCAGGCAACATGAACCAGGACTGGCTTGACACACCAAGATGGGGAAAGAGACATTCCCAATGCCATCTGGCAACTTGCCAGGGACTTTTGCATTGCTACTTTTATAATGCACAAACAATGTGAAAGTTAAAAAGTTATCTATATTTATAAAAGCGAAATATCATTCAGGCATCATCAGAAAATCTCCAGAATCGTAAAGCCTACAAACCTGGAATTTGGCATGTATCCTCTTGGCTTCTAGGTGCTCGCTAAGAAAGGATTTTCCGAAATGACCATCAGAGCATTAGTATTTCATATATTATTATTAACACGCTCTGATGCTAAGGAGTTCTACTCCCCCTCTCCATCTGAAAAGAAATCTATTCCAAATGCAAAACACAAGCAGAGGAGTCTCAGTTTCAGTTTCACAGCACCAAGCAGCTTTAGTAGAGAACAGTTGAGATAAGCCACGCCCAGGCTCCTTGCTGTCTCCTTGCTCACACAGGAGATACTTTTTCAGTTTCTAAACAGCCCTCAATTCTCTCACACACTGATAGGACAATAGCCAGATGAATACCAATGGATGCTGGTAGGCAGAGGCAGAATCCCCCCCCCCCAAACTAAGCTCAATCACATAGTTTTGTAGCAAAGCACGGATATCGAGCTAGTATTGATATATTTATCCTACTTACATATAGTTGATCCTACTTACTTTCTTGTTCTTTTTTGGTCCATTATAGCTGTTATTATTTGAACCCAAGGAACCTTTAAAAAATGGTTTCATACAATCTTGCTAGTGGAATAATATAAAATAACATTCTTTATTAATAATATTATAATATAAATATAATAATATTATTATATTTACTTATATTAATAATATAAGTAAAATCATAATATTTTACATAAACCAGCTTCAGTAAGAATTGCGAATCAGGGTGGCAAACTCATATTTGTTTTTCATATTGGGAAGGAGAAGCATCTAAACAAAGGTACAGTTATAAAATGAAATAATACCCACTCACTGGAACCAAACAAAATAAATCAAATAGCTTTGTGCGTGTGTATGTGTAGTGTGTGTGTGTGTGTGTGTGGGTGGGGGCATTGCTCACATGTGGGTATGCAAAGAGGGGAGGGAGGGAAGCCTTTTCGAAAACTCAGAACTAGTTGTTGCTTTAGCTCTGCAAGTCATAATCACAACAAACTGCAATGTTGGTGAATGGTTGTATTTTCATTGTAAACATATGCATCATTGTATATACAGTACGTTGTAAATACAGGCAATTCAAATAACCCAAATAAGCACATCAGCACTGTTCTCTGTCACACTTGGCTGACATGCTCTCAGATGTACTAGATGCAGTTTCTACACTACTGGAAATAAGGAGGATGCTGCTTGCTATCATTTGTCTAACCTCCCACGGTATCTTTTTAAATAAAGAGACCTGTCTTATATCAGAATGAGCAGAGTGTCTGCTTGTGCAAATGGTGATACGGGAACCCTAAATCTAGGGCATGAAAATTATTCTGTTTGAAAAAAAGAATGCTTTCAAATATTTGGTATAACTAAAGTGAATTCCATAGTGGGTTTAATTGTTTTTTTTCTAAAATTGTGATTTTTAAAGTCTCTTCTAATGTTTATCTTTTTGCTTTATAGGTATTCATTCAGCTCCAGTAGAAAATGATGATCATGCTGGAGAAATGGTGAGTAGAAAACTTATTCATCTAAAAAGTGAAATTTATTAGGTCACTTTTGAAGGAGGAGGATTGGCGGGGCCTGGGGGAAGAGTTAAGAGAGGGATCAGCCTAGAATTGTTGTATTTCCACAAGCAGTCTAAGTTCAACCTCTCTTGAATTATAGTTGACTAGATTCTTTTAAATAGGCATGAGCAATAAATCAGCTTAATCGGAACTTAACACGTGGTCCTGATTATTTGCACCTGACACCTTTCACAGATTATTAGAAATTCTTGCATGCTCTAGAGCAGGGCTGTCAAACTTGCGGCCCATGGGCTGGATGCGCCATGTGCTGGCCATGCTCACTCCCAGTTTAGTGAAGGGGGAAAAAGTCATGATATGTCATGTGACGCCGCCGTGATGATGTGAGTTTGACATCCCTGCTCTAAAGAGACATAAAATGCCTTATACATAGGCATTACCATGTTTTAATAGATGACAATGCCTTTGTTTGGAGTAAGGACCATTCAGAAAAATGTAGCAAGGGACAAGGTCAGGAGTCTTTTGAGAACAAGATAATTTAATGAACTGGGTGGCCTCCTCTTCTCCCATGCATTTTTTTTCCTGGATTGTGCCCAATTCAACATTTCCATGTGGATGTTCAAACCAGGGAAATGTTCATTCTCTTCCCATATTTCTGTTGTCAACCAAAACATCTCTTCTAGGAGTCAACAGATTTTTAAAATATTAAAAACAGGATCACACAATATTTACATTGAGACTCCTTAAGTCTAACTGAAGTCACGGGAATTCCAGCTACTATGTCTCATTACATAATATTTCATAGCAGGTCCAAATCATGGTAGCCTATCATAGAATCTTTCCATAAGTGTCCCTGAATTAACTTAGCCGTATATGAAATAAAAACAATTGGATTTGTGCAGTACTTCATGGTACAATGCAAGATATCTGACTAATGTTTATATAATTTTAGAGCTTTTATATTGTCTGTCTTCTTAAAAAAAAGCAGGACCACCATATCTTTCTTAGTAGATACTAAAATTGAGATCAGTGCAGGAAGAAGATGATGTAACGAGGAGTGCAGAAAATGTTGATGGCCAGCTGGCTACAAAACTACTGTACCTTGACCCAAAATTAGGCAGCATGATTCTATGGGCATTAGATACCACAAAACTATGGCTGAAGTTTTCATATGGGGTTGGAGGCCTTTTGAAATAAGTAAGGCATATAAAAAACCCCACCATTTTTGTTGGTGTCACGTGCTTTGGAAATCTAGCGGCCTAAACTTTTGGATTTCCTCCTCTTATTTATATCTTGATGGGGAAAATAAAGATGCTATTATTTAGCTGGGTACTTTTTTTGTTTTTTGAGCAACTATTAAATAACTTAGAAATTTAGTTTCCTTTGCTTCAGGATGACTTACTCACTTGGAATCTCCCAATTATACATTTGTTTTCCACGTTTGTGATTTTAATCAGCTCGAATATTTGGTTGAAATAGAATATTTCAAAACTAAATGAATCGTCTTCCTTTGTTGCTTTTGATCTAGATAACCCGATGTATTATAGAAGTCCTTTTGAACAGTCTGTCCAAAGGCAACTCTCCGCTTATTAATCCACAGTGTAGGGAGCTTCTGAAGAAAGGTGAGTGCATATCTTTACAAAAAAAAACAACCCTAACATACTTTCCATGACCAGCCTTTATAAAATTAGACAATAATTTTACAATATTGTAAAATATACAATATTGTAATATGTGTGTAATGTGGACGGGGAGACTTCCAAAATTGCTCAATTACAACTTCCAGCAGATTTTACCATTGCTACTAGAGATTGCTGAGAATTGAAGCTCAGCAATATCGGAAGAAACATATTCCAAGTTTCCACCCAGCGTAAATGGAATCAACAGTAGCTTAAAAATCCACCACCTTTCATATTGATGTATTTATTAAATTTATCTGACTGCCTGAAGTGGATTCTAAGAGATACGGCATTATGTATAGAGGGTAGTAGGAGGCATTTCTGGGAAAGTGAAGCTTTCCAGCAAACATACTATGGAGCTCACGTTTACTGCTCCTTTTCTGAAGAGCCATATTGTGGTGGAATCTCCAGCTAGAGTGGAGTGTGAACTGAAGAGACTGTCAAGCTTGGGATCCCTCCAGTGATGGAAGCAACAGAGGTCAGACCCCAGCCTTTATCTGCCTGTTCCCAAGAAAATGGAACCACCTGGCAATTTCATGGTTCTCCTGGAATCCTCAAGCCTGTTGGCATAATCGGGTCTTGAGGGATTTTCAGAAACTCAAGAATTATGTGGTCAATCTTATCTCTCTAAAGGAGAAGATTCCATAATAAGGGTGCACAGCAGAAAAGGCCCACTTCCTAGGGCCTACCAAATGTAGGCCTCTAGACCATGGAACCTGTAAGATACCCATTCCGTGAGATCTTTTCAGACAAGCCCAGTAGCTGAAAACTGGCTCATTGAAGACTCCAAGTGTTAATGCAAATAGCAATGTGAGTACTAATACTCAGAAAACTGACAACAGTTATTAGGTTCCAAGTGCAGTTACTGATTATGAGTCCACATGCACTCTGTTCAATAGAATTCTGATCTGGCACAAGTAACACACATACACACACAAGTCTGAATGGAAAACATGATGAAGAATATCTAAAAAATGGGATTTGTCTGGGCTGGAGATCCACTTGCCTCAACCCCTTAGTATTTGCTCAGGAAGCTTGGGCTGAGAACTGTTTATATTATTTTTATAATACATTAGCATTATTGTAATATATTAACATATTATGGCATAAAACAATACAAGTGGTAAATTAAGTATTTGATTTCTGAGTAAAGTTTGGGTGAAAAATTTCATTCATTCATTCATTCCTATAGCCTGCCATCTCACTTGATGACTCTGGATGGCTTACAGTTCAAAAATATATATTACAATGAAGGCAGTAAAATATTTTAAACCAACAAAAAACAATGAAAGCATCCAAAATAAATATACACAGCAGCAGAGATATTTGGCCAGTTAGATATATAGCCAGGAAATGGGGCCCTTGAAACAGTCAGCACCTCAGGCTTGGGAACATTTTAAACAATTTAGTTTTAAAAGGGGACATGAATAGGTATACATATATACAATCATAATGATAACCTTATTTATTCATCAAAAATATGGACTCCCATGTTCTAGGGTCAAGGACAAGCTAAAATAGCAAAGGTACCTAAGCTTCTTGACAGATAAACATTTTTAGGCAAGAACCTTTGTAACAGGGGCATGCTCTTAAAAGAGTAAGTAGTCCTCCATGGGCATTCTGTGACATGATTTTTTCCCCCCTTAGGTCAGATTAAATATTTGTATCCATTCAGACTGTAAATACTCATCCAAAAATGGCTGATTTCTACCCATAATGCCCATAGAAAAGCCCTTTGTTTTCTTTGCTACCGCTTGATGGCATGGCTGTTGCCAGGTGAGGGAATGTTGGGGGAATAGTGAGCAAGTGATGAAGTCACCACTGACCATTGTGAGGTATGCGCAAGGTAATAATAGTACAAAGAAAAAAAAATTCCATGGTTGTTGATTCTCTTTGGGAGATCCTTGAAGAAAAGTGGAAAGTGGAAGAAAAATCAGGGACAGAAGACAAATAGCCCACAATGAACATGAAAATATAATGGTATTATAATGAGGAATTCCTCAGCGTATTTTGTTTTGTTGCAGGTGAACAACAAAAACAAAAAGAGAAAAATGTACAGCAAGGCATGGAACTCGGCACAAGAACCTTATCAGAATCAGAAGAATTATCTAAGCAGTCAGAAGGGACTGTGAGGGAAGAACAAGATGTGAGTGAAGAAGAGTTTAAAAGACAGACAGATGGAGATGCTAAGTGGCATCTGGAAACAAAAAAATATGGGGGAAGCAGCAACCAACAAACTGCCTCTCAAGGGACCTCTTACGCTTTGGATAGAGATCATAAAGAAGAAAAAAAGAAAGAGAATGAAAAAGGAGCAGAGGAAGATAATTACAAAAGAAATCACCCCAATGGAGATGGAGGCAAAGAAAAAAAGGCCAGTGGAGAAGTAGAATCTGAGCCTCTAGGGAAAAAGTCTGTTCTTACATCTGGAAAAGTGAATGAGGAAGATTACAAGCATTCTCATGGCCAAAAGTATGTGGAAGAAATAATTAACAGTCAAGAAAGGGAAAATGAAAACAGTGAGGAGGAGGAGGAAGAAAAGGAAGAGGAGGAGGAGGAAGAGGAGGAGAGTAATGAAAAGTATCGTCATAGTTTTCATGAAGAATTTGAAGATTCTTCAGAGCGGGATGGTGACGAAACAGAGAAGCAAGACCACAAATCAGGACATTACCGAAAAAAACCAAGATTGGGTAAGTCCTCTGAATACAACAATCATCATATTGGTGAAAAAAGGGGTTCATCTGAAGAGCCTAGTGAGGAAGAAAGTGAATTCTGGGCTAAAATGAGTCACCACCCCAACCATTATGAGAGAGGACATTACTTTGTGGAGCCAAGAAATGCTATTGAAACGCATAGGTCTGAGGAAATGGAGAGGGAGAACAGGAACCAAGGATACTGGGATCAACACTACCCCAGCCAAGAGGATAGTGATGAAGACATGAAGCCACAGAGTGAGGAAAATGAAAGGAAACAGTATCAGTACATGAGGAAACGACTTTTCGGTGGACCATCAAGGGAGAGCAGACATCACTACGAAGTAAGGCTCCCTTACAGCAAAGCAAGGAAGGGAAATGGAGGTATGAAACAAAGCCACGATAGCATAAATGAGAAACCACACCATGACCAACCAAGTGTACAGCTAGAGATGGCAAAACCACAAAACAAGGAGAGAGAAGATGGAGGGCAGCGACTCAACAGCCAAGAAGAAAAGCACTACCCTAGTAATGATGGAGAGCTAGAAACTCCACACTACAGCGAGAGAGGAAAACACTTTGAGAATAAAAGGACTCTTCTGCTAGAGGAGGGCTACCCAAGGAGCCACTATCTTGTAGAAAATGTAAAAAGAGCTTTAAAATCATTTTATTCCCAACAGCCCAGGTGGAAAAACAGATCTGTGGACAAGAACGCTGACATCATCAATCCACTGTTGGAGAGTGAAGAAGAACTCAAGTCCCACTTGAACAAGAGGGAATTCTTTCCTGAATATAATGATTATGACTTGTGGGAGAAGAAACAGATCTTGGATAGCTTAAACCCCAAACAGGACAACAATAACAACCCTGAGAGGCTATACAAACCTGAGATAAAAAGGCAGTATGATAGAATGGATGAGCTGGCCCACCTTCTGAGCTATCGGAAGAAATCTGCAGAATTTCCAGAACTGTACAGCTCAAAAGAAGACGTTGAAAGGGGACACGTAATAAGAAGTGGCAAGGACAAATTTAATCAGAGGCCTCTGACACCAGAAGAGGTATTTATTTTATGATTTCTAAGAAAACTAGAACAATTCTTTTCTTTAAAAAAAGTCTTTTATTTCAGCAAAATAATACAGTATGTGGCTAGGCGCAACATGACCATACGTTAGGCTTATATTCTCAGTGTCATGTTGACGACTTTGTATGCGATCAAAAAGTATGAAGCCCTGTTATTTCAGGCTTCATACAGAATTCAAGTAACAGACAGGACTATCAGTGTGTTCCAGTTAATAATCTGGCTTTAGCTGTCTTTCACTTAGCCTTCTCTGTCTCTAGGTATCATTTACATTTGTACTTCACTGGAACGATGCAACCTGCTGAAGTTGCTTCATGATTGCCCTATTGAAATTGTCAGCAAAACTGGATCTTAAGAGGAGGGAAGAAAAATCTTTGAGTGTTAAAAATATCTAGAAAGCTGTCAATCAAGGACATGTTCTGATTTATTTAGTGTATTTATTTATTTAGTGTAGAAGATGTTAAGACTTCATGTAACTTATTTGAAATGATTTTACAATCTACTTAGTTGCTGTCTAAGTCAATTTCTTTGTGATGGCATGGCAAAGCATTGGCTAAGGCAAGAACAGGTGACTGATTTTTTGTAAATAACTTTCTTCTGGGGATAATCTGTAACCATCTTTCTAGCTATAGACCAAGCTAGAGCAAAACCTTAGTTCTGGTTTCATTTCTTACAAAATATCTGAACAAAAGGTAAGCTCAGTTGCATTTCTGGACTGGTATCAGCTAAGACATGCAAATATTTTATGTTCTCAATAGTCTTCAAGCATTGCTTTTAAGGCATTCACCACATTTTTCACTGTAACATGGATGAGGATTAACTAAAATGCTGAATAGGGAATACTTTGACCCAGACCAATCACCTAATCTAAGGGTTTACTCAAGCAAGATATATCATACATCCATACATATACATACGTGCATACATATGTGCTTAGCTTCATGATACCTAAGACTACATCATCACAATAGTGACCTGTTTTAAATTGAGTAACCAAAATTTCATTTGAAATCTGTTGCTCTGTTCTGTTCATGTGTTCATTTTAATTCTGGGCTGCGGGCCTCATTTCCTCCCATGCTTCCTATTTAGAAATAGTCAGATTTCTATCAGGCTGCCTATGTTTTCAGGAATGACACATCCTGACTTTCAATATTACACAACGTGGTATATCATGTCTTACTGAAATAACTGTACAAGCAAGTGTGCATGGAGTGACATAACTGCCATACTATAAATTCATGTTCTGGGAAAACCATCCCACCACATAACTTGACAAATGATCAGCGCCAAATATTCTTAACATTAACTATGTGGATGTAGAGAAGAATTAAAGCATGAAGATGTTTTCTGGTCATTTTGGTAAAACGAAAACAACTGGCACTTACAAACTGATTCCTAGAGAAACTGCAGTTCCCTATAAATACTAAGTCAAACTCACAAATGTGAGTTACTATAGTACACAAACATAATAATGGCACAGCTTAGCATCACATGACTGATCTCCAAGTTTAGGAATCTTTACTATGCTTTGATGGAAAGTAAGATTAATACATCGTGCTCTCCTTACGGAAACGGATCACATGAATCACAAAAATAGAATGAATGAGTATTTAGAAGCTCTTCCCTACATTTCCTTTCTCAGTTTTCTTGAGTGAAATTTGGGAGATAATGCATGCACAAAAGTTTCTTGCAATAAAACCACATTTTAAAAGTATTTTGCAAATGCTACATAATTTAAATCTAGTAAAATAGAATGTTTAATTCTTATAAAATACTTTTTTCTGATCAATTTCTTGACTGTTGTGAAAGCCTTAATAGAAAATGCTACCGGAAGAGCCAGGAAAAGTAACTAGAGCTACATTAGAATTAAAAATCCAAACATAATAGGACGAGCAGTAGTACTTAGACTTATATAATGCTTCGCAGTGCTTTCCAGTCCTCTCTAAGCAGTTTACAGTCAGCCTCTTGCCCCCAACAATCAGAGTCCTCATTTTGCCCACCTCGGAAGGATGGAAGGATGAATCAACCTTGAGCCTGGGGAGATCCGAACTGCCAAATTGCAGGCAGCCGGCAGTCAGCAGAAGTAGCCTGCAGTACTGCATTCTAACCACTGCGCCACCTCATACTTGTATGTGAGCCATGATCAAATCTAATTAAATCTAAATCTAATAAGATCACTAAGCAGTACAGTTGCATGGATTTCTAACGATCAAATTCTCAGAATAAAAAAGTGATCTATGCTTTTAAGGTCATAATTTACATGGATTTCCTTTTCCATTATCACAGGAGAAAGAACTGGAAAACCTGGCTGCTATGGATTTGGAACTGCAGAAGATAGCTGAAAAATTCAACAATAATCAGAGAGGATGAATGTTATTTGACATAATGTGGTATGGTGAAGAGTAGCTTTATTTAAAGTATCCCGTATTTACTAGTAAAGTCACTGCCTCAAATGTTGTTCTTCTCCCCAATTAGAAATAGTTTACCATCCTTTAAATATATAATTTACAATAGTACGAAGCATCTTTCTGTTCCAAATGATTTGTTCAGATCAGCATGAATTCTTGCCTTATGAATTTTGAAATGTATGAGGATAATTGTGTGTGCGTTCTTCAGAAATATATTATCTCGGTAAAAAATAATAAACTTTACATTGTCTACATACCATAGTTAACTGCATGTGCTCCTGCATAACTTGTTTATGATTTACATAGTTAGATTTGTCAGAGGAGACACAGTAACATGCTTATAAGTCTATATTGAAGCTATTTTTTTATTCCTTATAAAATAGTAGTACATTCTGTAGTACCATAAAATTTACTTTGGGAGTCTGACAGCACCAAAATAGATGTACCATCTACTCCTAGATTGTTATGAGATAAACTGTTCACTCACAGCTTATGAAAAAAGGATACTGGTTGCAGCTTTCCCATAATAGCACTGAATGTGCTTCTTAAACTACCCCAAAGTTTCTATGGAACTGTATTTTTAAAGTCATTGATACATAAGTGGTTAGCTACATAATTGCTGCCTTGAGTTATTTATAATAAAGCTGGGATTAACAGAAACTAAAATAAATAAATGTTCACAGCATTTATAGTAATTAATTTTAATGTAATATGTATTTGGCTTTTATTGTACACTCATCAACTTTATTTTGGGCTCACTCACTTTTGGCAATATGGTCCTCACCACACTACACCAGCAATGCATAAATTGGAGATACCCCAGCTTTAAAATAAAACGGAATCTTAATCGTCAGGTAGTATCAGAATACATGAAGGAATTGTGATAGTGAGGTATTCAACAGAACAAAATTTCTGCTTTTCATTATATTCTGATGCTGGTGAAGAACTTCCCAAAACTTCCAACTTCTTATTTTATAGCTGTTAATTCTAGTAGCACTTAAGCAGATTGTTTTTATTTATCTTGATAACAGGCCTGGAAAATGCTATGATTCCTTTATATGAAAGCGAGCAGGCTTTGTTTATTCTTAAAAAGCACCAGCAGTATCAATTATTTTTATTAGGGGGAAAAAAACCCTCTACTGTACTGATTGCAATTTAAGATTTCAGGGGCCAAGATTTCAGCAGTAAGGTCTGCTAGCCAAACGCATTCTGGTCTCAAAAATACCAAAACAGTCACAGAAATATTGAACACATTAAACATTGAATTAAAAAGTTAAATGAATATAAAACATGGAAAGCACAATTATAGATAGGCATGTTAGCCATCGATCTGAGGTAGTCAATATTTTCATACCACTAGCATTCTCTATTTTAAATTCTCTAATTGCCACCTACTGGATGTTGGAAATATTGCTTCATATCATGAGCATAAATGTTCCTTCTGCTTTTTCAAGGCCAAATGAAATAGGTTGGGAAATCAACTCCAGACGATTTTTCTTCTTACCATAACTCAACTGGGAAAGATTAAAATCTTTCTGAGAACGTAGGCTAATAACCTGGATTCACAGAGTATTTTCCTGAGGAAAAAAGTGTCTCCAGGTTGATTGTGTACCTGCAGTGTATATGTGAATTATGTATTTGTTGCATTTATAGACTGCCTTCATTCTAGATCAGTGAAGTGCATGGGGGAGCAACTCCCCAATATTGAATATTAAAAGTAATAACAGTTTCAAGTTTCATGGGCTATGTTACACATGACTCTCACAGAAGCTTAGCTATTCAAGGCTTACATGCTTAATGAAACTGATTAGACAAAATTGTTCAGGGGCCGGAATGATCTTCATAACTAAGCTGGGAAATAAACATACATTTTAATGATTGGTCTCCAAGTTTCGGAAGTTAGATTACATTATAGATTTCATTATGGTTAAAGTTAGAATGCCACGAAGTTTTAAAAGTTCCATTCTGCTGCAATGCTTTTAATATAGCGAACATCTTACGTGGGATACTATTATAGTCTGGCTACTAAAACACTTGCATAACGCTTGAGGCGCTTACCTTGTTAACCAATGAGACGAAAGCTTTTGTTTATGTACTATTGATGTTGCCTCTTAATTTTCTCTCTGACAATCTATCTCTGACCTGGCCTCTCAAGTCTTCACATGGTGCATTCATTGTCACCATAACTGAGTCCATCCACTTTGCTCCTGGTCATCCTCTTCTCTTTCCTTCCATCTTTCCCAGCACTAGTCTTTTTCAGAGCTAGATCTTCACAGGGTGTGTCCAAAGTACGATCATTTGTACCTTGTCATTTTGCCCCGAGTGACAATTCTGGGCCGATTTGTTTCATGACCCATTTGTCCATGGTATATACAAGAGTCTTGTCCAACACCAAATTTCAGTTTTTTAAATTGCTTCGTAAAAATAATTGACATACCTACCCAGCAAGACTTTCGATGTGGGTATGAAAGAAAAAAGAAGCAAAAACTCCAGCAGAAGGTTAACACATCGCATACAAAGCATTCTTTGCTTTTTCAGCCTTGTTGTGATGTAGTGACGTAGTTAGTTTAACTTAACCACTTAGCAAACCAAGCTCTGCAGTGGATGCAATGAGAATGCAGCCAAGTGGGGGCAAGATTTTTATTTGTTTATTTTCAAAGACTTTTTCACAAGGTTTATAGGAATTTTTGTGTGTGGGTGAGTAATCCTCGCCTTATAATGGCGATTTGAGACCAGAATTGCTGTTGCTAAGCAACACAGCCATAAAGCATGAAGTCACATGACTGCATCACTTAGTGACAGTAATTCCAGCAGTCCCAGAATATTGTCATTAAACAAGGACTTCATGTGACCACGACTTCCAACTTCCTGCCAGCTTTTCCCATTGATTTTGCTTGTGGGAAGCTGGCAAAACTTGGAACTCAGGATCGCATGACCGCAGAACTCAGGATCGCATGACCGCAGCTCACTGCAATGTGATAATTGTGAGCTGGGTGTTAAGCATCCCGAATGCAATCACACAACCCTGGGGACGCTGTGATGCTGGACCTCCAAGGACCAGTTGTATGTATTGCTCATTCTGCCCCACTGTAACAAAACACTGCCAAGTCTTCCTCTACAAGGGATTGTTTATTTAATTTACCAGATTCATAAGGCTGCTCAAACAATGTGATTCCAGGCAGTGTCCAACAATAACAAAAATCCAAAAAAAAGATCCATGTAATATTAAAACATACATGATATACTGTATAAATTTGAAATACAGAATATGCTGGTAATCAAGCACCATAATAAAAACAGCTGAAAGGGAATCCCATTCAACCAGCCCCAAATGCTTGTGGGGGAAAAGCCAAGTCTTAAAGCTGATTGTTGATTATTTTCTTAAAAATAAAGGATTGCTCTATGATCTGGGTTCAAAGCAGAAAAAATATTTAGAGCATGTATATAGAAGGATCACCACACTGGTCTATAGTTCTTTCAATCAAACCCATCTATTTCAAGGATCTCTTTTTATATCTCTTTGAAATGGGTCTGTCTCTTTTTTCTTTATTAGACTCTTTATACCTTAACCTTCTATCCCTGAGCTATTCAAGACAGCTTATAAAAGCAGTATACAAATGCTAAGAACTGAACAAATCAAGCTGCAAAAGCAGCAACAGATCCAAAGTTAAAACTGAAAGTTATGATCAAGTTCTAAATCTTGTGACTTCCAAGAATATATCAAGAATTTCATGGTGCCTACTCACATACATATCTAGCTAGATCTTGTTGAATTTGGATGAATGGGGGTCAATTCACAAATACAAGGCAATATAGAGCCCAATATAATGGCAGGTGAATTTTGGGGCCAATGTGCACATTGGAAAACACAGCAGTTTGGTTGCCATCCAGGTTTCTTACTTTAACAATCCTTTCTTGCTTTAAAGGAAAAAATAATTCATGTACCACAAAATAATATAATTTATTGAAATGCAGATTTACAGATTAAAAACTCCACATAAAAATATAGTTGCCACAGGTTAAAAAGATGGAAACCAGTTTCTTTTTCTTTTTTAAAGTGTTAAGTGAAAACAGACTAGCATTATTTTAATATTTCCAAACTAATGTGTAATGTTTGCTTTTTTTGAAATCCAGAATGGTTAAAATGTGCAATAGCCTTTCTCACTGATAATAGTAGAGCACTTTGCAACATTCATTTCACTTGGTTAAAAAAACTGATTTTAACAGAAATGGAAATGGGATTAGTGTGAACATGTTTTTTTTAATTCAAAACAAAATTCTGAAACAGAACCAAGCTGGACTTTCAGTCAATTTTTGCAACATTTCCAGGAAGACTGATTCTTAATCATATCTTTCTAAAGTAATACTCTAAGTTATGGGACTACCTGAGTCTGGAATGACATTGGCAATACAAATATTTGGTTGAACATGATTGATTTAAAAAAGAACCTTCAGTTGCAAATGGAAAAAAAGTGCATTCCACTGGGCCTTTAAATACAGTTAGCAAGAGAGGACAAGGATAATTTCTTGAAGCATCAATGGTGTTCTTGAAGCTTACGCTTTTTAGAAGATGGCTCATCCAAGCAGTCACTGGTATTTATGCTTTCATTTTTAACAGTGATACCTGTCAGCAAGTACCCACCGCCACCACTCATTATCAATTTGGGATGACTTCGATCTGGCAAGATCTTAACAAAAAATAAGAAATGGCAAATAAGCTATGTAACAATTGCAGTACTAATAGCACATTCTGTGAGGCTCATGGATCAGGCAGCAATAAAAGATTTAAAGAAGACACATATTAGACAAGTGTAAAAATCAGACATTTGATGCCACTTTAGATTTGCCTTGCAGAAATTTCATAAAAAGAAATTCTTACCATTATGCTACATTGATGAGTTATGAATCAATGATAATATCAAATTGAATATTTTATTAGGTTATTGACCAGAATTGGAAACAAAAATACATTAACAATAAAAAGAAAACAAGATAAAATATTACAATTGGTGGAGGATTTGTCAGTGGATAATCAGAGAATAGTTATAATATGAAATTTACTTTGCATAGTCTGATCTATTTTCTATTCCCCCCACCCATTATTTCATAATTTCAAATATCCTTTTGACCAGAGATGCATAATATCCCTGGTTTACTTGCATTTTCTATGGTACATACATGTTTGTTAAGTCTTACCTGATAGTTTCGTAACCATGTTTCAGAAAGTCTTAGATTAATGACACCACCTTTCTCTCTCAGTTTTGCATAACATTCCAGGAGTGGCTAAAAACAAGAAAATATGGTTATATGAACTTACTGAAAAATCTTTAAAAATATTAAATTAAGAAAGTATATTGAGTTCACCTCTTTAAATTGGCAGTAGACAACAAAAGGCCTTGAAGGAGCTACCAACTCTAACAACAGGAGTAGTAAACTTGTTGGATGAAATCGACTGGATACAATTAAACTGTAATAGAAAGTTAGACACAGGTTAGTTGCCTTTCTAAACATCCAAGCTGTTACTTTTTGGCTATGAAAATTTATCTAAAAGTCTGGCAAATCTTATTTTGCTCCACAAATATAAAAACAGTTTGAATACAGATTAAATCTTTAAAAAATCATGGAAGGAAAAGTCTGCAAGTTACAGTGTTGATATAAAACCAGGTGGTTTGTCAAAATTTGAGGAAATGTTGCTGCCTACATTAAGGAGGGCAACATTAGGCTTTCTCAGATGTAGATTAGGAGCAATTTTTTTAATGAATTTCCTCAACTTTATTTTAGAGCTTGTAATGCACTGGTTATTTTCCTTATATAAAGACTTTTATCTTTAACCCTAAAGACAGGCTGAACAATTCATCAAAGCTGATATATTGACGAATCCTCTCTGTCATAGGGATAATTGTATAGGTTATTGTCATCCTTTCAGTGTTGAAAATATTTTGACCATTTACAGCATCTTTCGATCTAACACAAAAATCTAACAAACTAATGAAAAAAGGAAAATCCAGAAAGGGCTGAGCCTTGGCTTTAAGCTTCAAGCTAAATAGACAAGTAATGGTTATTCACAAACTATGAACACTAACACATCCAGTTACATTTTTAGAATGGCAAATTCTCCTTTGAAAGCAATTACAAAACAAGGTATTTCTAGACATGTTCAATACTACAACAGAACTCTCACCCATCAGCATCCTTGTTTTTCAATAAAGCAGCAGCTGCTATCAGCTTTCTCTTCTTTTCCTCTTGTTTCTTTTGTTTGTCATATGTCTAAAATATGTACAAATTCAGGTTAAATAATTTTAAGAACTAGAGAAGTTCTAAAAACCTTTGTAATGTTTTGCAAAAATATACACATTTATAGGCTGGTTTGGGTTTAATTTTCTAACTCCTTCCTCAAATTTAAAAGTCTATTTGAAAGATAAAAGTAGAATTGTTAAAAATGACAAAATGTATTCTAATACTTCAATCTGAAATACTTTAAATAATTAAATATTTTGCTAATTTATTTTTAAAAAGCACTTGTGTTAAACATTATTGCGATAAAGTCAAACAATTATCTCAGATCCTAATTCTAATTTTACTTACATTGCTATATATATCAGCTTTAGACCCTGAAATATTTTAACTTATAGCTGACTTAACATGACCATAAGTCACAATTACTCCAAAGATATTTCACAATTGATAAAATTATTCTGGTGCTATTTAGCAATGCAGACTACAATGCACTTATTCATATTTCTAATTATTATTAAATTTGATTTCTATCAAATGATTTTGCAATTAACATATAATGCAGGTAAGCATAACAGAGTAAGCATTCATGTAATGACTGATGCTGCAATGTGACTCTTTGGTTGAGAAGCATATTTATTTAAATAGCAATGGATTCAATTATTTAATTACATTTATACTTCATAAAATGGTAGGATCTTACTGTCCCCTTGGCTTTATCATCAAGTGCATCCGAAGCAAATCCCGCTATTTCTTGATCTTCAGGTTGACCGCTCTCCATAGCTACCTTAGGACTGCATTCCATGTCTACTTCTGGTATAGAAAGCTCCTTGTCATCCCCTGAACCATTTTTGTCTTTTGCCACTGGTGTTTTCTCTTCAGACTCTGAAGGCAGTGACGTTAAAGAAAATGTTCCAGACAGAATGCTGGCCAATTTGCTGAGTGGGAACTCAGAGAGTGTGTCAAAAAAAGTTTTAGGAAATCCAAAACAACTTGTGGCTGCTCTAACAGGTCCTTCTCCTGGATATATCTGAACAATCGATCCATAACCTGCAAGTATAGATCAAAGTCAAATACAGCTGGCTTAAACTAGGTTTACACTAATACAGCGTGACAATCTAAACAAACCATTTTCTCTCAAATATAGCAGTGACTTGCATGAAAGAAAACAGAAGTTGTCTACAATTCTTAACATCATCACAAAGAATGTTCTTCAAAACTGGTCTCCTGATACATTAATCTGTGCAAACAATGGATTATTCATGGGATCCAAAAATGTTGAGCTTTACACAAGCATCTATAGGTGATTTCAATTCAAATTACTATGGACAAGTGGAAGATTATTTGAACTTGTCTTGGCCCACTTTCACAAACTTGCCCATTCAGCCAGTGCTGTGTTTTTGCATTAGAGCATCTGCCTTCCCTAGTTCCCTATGTTGTCTAGCAAATGTGTTCTGAAACTCAGCTGAGTTCCAAAAGTATTTGCAAAACGGAATGGGGCAAAACCAGTCAAGACAAGCCAGCCAAAAATTCCAGTTGACTTATCCAAGGAGCCATACCTTGATTAACTCTTCAAGCTAAATTCAGCGAACACTTTTAACAATACTATATTCACAATAACAGAGATTTCCCTTTATCTGCTTACTTCTCCATAAAACTTGAAAATAATAGTTAGATAAAATAAATAAAGCAGGAACACAAAATGCAATTTCCAAAAGCATCTTATTTCTCTACTTTTCTGGCATCCTTATATTTTGTAATCAATTATTTGCTTTAACCCTATCCAGCTTAAATCATAGTTTTAGAATCAAATGCACATGCTACCTATAGAAATATTACTATTAAATGTTCACACTACCAGTTGTATACACTATATTCTGCTGTTCTCACCTCCCATACGTTCCATTACAGCTCCCAGCACCAGTCCTGCACAGGTTTCCATTACTATCATCTTGTTGCCAGCATGAACATTTCCCCAAGTTAACATCTGGGCTAGAGTATCATACCGCAAATAGCTAGGAGAGTTTGGGGAAAACAATATTTTTGCTGAGTTAAAATACTTAAGAATACAACAAATTTTATTCAAAATACTGGAATTCTAATTCTAATTTATATTCTGAGCAAATATAAATTCTGGCTTAAAGATACACTAATATTTATTAAACATGTATTTTGCCCAGTTCCCAATGACTCTGGGCAGCTTGCAATGGGAAATCACAGTACAATACGATACAATAAAAGATGATATGTTCATTCCAGTTGGAATGAAGTAAGGGGTCTTATTCTCCCTCACCAAAGACCTGGGTAGTGTTATGGATGGAAGCTAAAAAATGCCTTAACTCATTGTTTCTTCAGCTCCATCATTGTTTATGTAGTACTGATGAGAAAAAGTTATCTGCAGAAATCTGCAGCTCAGTTTTTGTCTTTGCCTGCCAAAAGGAGAGCTTTTGAAAATTCATGCAGGATAAGATTAATCCTAGTCCAGTTGGTAGCCATCATCAGAATCTCCTTATTTTTTTTTAAATGCACCCACCCACAGATGATCACAAACTATATTCTGTCAAGAAAAGAATCTCATTTTTATGCATCACTTGTATCAATCTGTAACCATTGGTGGGAGGACATTTATCCGCTCATTTACTGCTAGATGTAGTCCAACAGATACCCCATATAACTGAAATATATTAAGCCTTACTTGATCTTTCCTGGTTCTCTTGCATAGTACATTGTTGATAATATACGAGTAGATGGCTTTATGATTGTAATAACTGCCTCATATCTGCAAGCAAAGCAGCACAAATAGTGTTAAAGCTATTTATGATTTGTGATTCACTGGACATTCTGTTTTCTAAAATTCAACTTACTTCCTTTTCTTTTTTTTGATGTATTTATCTTGAGCAAATTCTGTTTTGTCTCTAAACGTGGTACTGTTCTCTATTAATTGTTGAACTATTTCCTTCAAAAAAAAAAAAAAAAAAAGATAGGTTAATCATTCTCTTCTCATAGCTATTTATAAAGCATTTAAACCAAAACAAAACACCAAAGCCCCCAGTATATAAACAGTGACTAAGGAACATCCAAGTAAAAATTAAAAAAGAAACTAAAAAAGTAGGAGTGTCAGTTTGCTGTAGTGATTAAAGTACCATGACAGAAACAGGAGACCGTGGGTTCTATTCCTGCCTAACGCACAAAGCCAGATGTTTAATTTCGGCCCAGTCAAACTCCCTCACCCTCTCAGAAGGAGGTAATGGCAAATCACTTCTGAGAGAAAAAAATGTGCCAGGAAAATTGCAGGGACTTGTCCAGGCAGTTGCCAGGAATAAAAATTGACTTGAAGGTGTGCGCGCGCACATACACAGAGTACTCCTACTTAGGAAATATATTTATTCTCAATGTAGTCGTGCATCTACCAAATGTGAGGCCAACATTTAGCCATAAACAATCCAAAGAACTACACATGAAAAGCAGTACCAGTGACTTAAACGTACATAAAATGGATGTTGCATTCCATTCATTATGATCATGATACATATCATCTAGCCAAGAACCAGAGGAGAGAAGTATAGTTGAATTGTAAAGTTCATATTTTACATGAAATAGTTCAAGATTCAATCCTTCAATCCTTTTAGAAGAGTGGCTTGTATTTAGTATAGAAAGGCAACTGCCCCTTTCTTATTTATTAGATTTAATAAAAACAATAACAATAAATCTAATAATAAATTTATATCCTGCTTTTTCTTTGGAACAAAAGGTAGCTTAAATGGGATTCTAGCCTAGTTTTATTGTGATATTACTCTGATGCCCAACTGGGCTGAAATATATCAACTGGTCCAAAGTCATTCACTGATTTTTTTTGGTTGAGTAGGGACTCAAATGTGTTTCCTCAGTTAAGTCTAAAATTTCAGTCACTATATGACACTTGTTCACATTCTTCAACAGAAAAGGATTCTAACTGTAATTGTTCTAACAATATAGCTTTCTAAACAGAAAGTATTCACTTGTGACATGAAACAATAATATGCAATTGAGAATTCAAGATTACCTCTCCTTTAATCCCTTTATCCTTCAAAGCCTTTATATCATCATGAGTCAGTTTTTGAGATTTTCCATCGTCTATTATATTACGATTATCTGTACCTGCTTCTTTTGTTTCTTAAAAAAACCCAAAGATATAATAAGTTTGTAAGAACTTGTACTAAAGATTTAAAAATATTTCATATCATAGATGATTTATAACTGGTACTATAATCATCTAACAGACAAGAGAGGAAACTACCCCTGTACTAGTTTATTAAGCAAAAGGAAGTGTTAGTGTAGCTTTTTTCACTTGTGCTTCTGATTGTTTTTTTGTCAATTGAGATGATTAAAAAAATGATTAAATTTAACATTTCAATGATACTAGTACATTACAGCTTGCCCATAATAACTCACGTAGGACCCTTGCAAGAATCTTTATCTCTTATATAAACCATAAAATCACAGTATTCCCACAAGAATTATGATTTGCTACTTTGTACTGTCAAGCAATGGAAACTTTCTCAAGTAAATGCTATAAATCAGACCTTAACAAATAATGTAGCAGTTTGGATATTATTCAGATATTTCCATTGTTTATTAATAATTAGATATTAAAATAGACATGTTTTAAACAAGGTAATGCTTTGTTCTCACCATCAAATATATCTGGTAAATCTAATTTTGAGTTTGAATCTACACTTCTAGTTATATACATTTCATAAAACTTCCTTTCAACATTTTTCATCACATTTTCACCAAAGATGAATATTCCCTCACACAGCCTTGTCAATCTATTAGATATACCAGTGGTTCTCAACCTTCAACCTCCCACAGACCCTGTGACAACATTGGGGGGAGGGGACCCTGTGAAGTCTTGAAGAAATGTTATGATTTAAATCTTGAGGGTCTGTGGCCATAATGATATTTATAGGAGGTCCATGGTGAAGAAAAGGTTGAAAACCATTGAGATAGGCAAAGATTCTTATCAGAGTTTCATGTCACTAATATAATAACTTATTTCTTGTATAGATGTTGATACAATTTTTCTATGCTGCCATAAAGACTGGCAGTTATCAGTCCGTCCGTCCATCCATCTATCCAATTTATTGGCAGCCCATCTTACTACAAGGCAAGTCTGCAGTTTTTTTTTATCACATATAAAGCAGAGAGTGAAAGTTGTAACTAACATACTTCCCTTGTTCCTCAACCCCATATTGTACTTTGTTCAGGAAAAGTATCAGAACTACAAAAAAGTATCAGGATTATAATATCAAAGCCTACACATTTCATACTTTTGCTATCTAAATAATTTCTAGCTGATTCATACCTGGATTCATCTCTTCTAACGTCCGCTTTGGCTGAAGACTACCACCACTAGTCACTTCAAATGATGTTCCATAAACATGCCCAATGGCATTATCTAAGCAGAACCACTGTTTTTCAAAAACAATTTTTCTAAAAATAAAAGCATCAATAAATCAATTAGAAACAAATCCCTGCAATATTCACAACCAAAAACCTGAAAAAGGAATAAAATGGCATACATGTATTGCACTATATTCAACTCCAGTTTCAAGTGCAAGTAAGCAGAAATAGCTGTGAAACCGTCGGTCAAGAGAAGCAAGTAAATTAAAATCACAATAATATTTTACTAGGCTTATATACTGTTTTAATTGGATTGGCTCACAATCTAATCATACATACCTAAATAGGATTAAAATCAATAGATCACGCCATAAAATAGAAACATATTATAGAAATAGAACAGAAAGATGGGGTACCTAAAAGCCATTACAACTCATACACAAACATAATGTTCAATTTATCTTCTCTTCAAAGTTCTAGGGATATAATCTGGTGTTAATTACCTTTCTGAATCCCCAAGAAGTTGGTACTTGTTAAAAGAGGGCAGTGATTGAAAACTGCCTCTAAGAACTCTACGTGCTTCTTTTAAGAGGGGAATTTGAAGGGACTCAGCTCTCTTCTATTTAACTGAGGAGCCATCTTTATATTCCAGCAGACAATTCCTTAGTGGGGTATTCAAACTTGGCAAATTTAAGACTTGTGGACTTTGACTCCCAGAATTCCTGAGCTAAGACTGGAGGAGGAATTCTGGGAGCTGAAGTCCACAAGTCTTAAAGCTGCCAAGTTTGAAGACCCCTGCCTTAGTGATTGCACCATGTTAAAGCTATTTTCCATTGTATTTGCTCTGAAATGAAACCAGAAACCAGATCTAATGTGTAGCTTTCCGTACAATTTGTACCTGTAATTTGGGAAAAGACCAGGACTGTCATGATGGTTATGTCAATTCTAACTCTTTTTCAAGGAAACAAATTAAAGTCCCTCAATACCTTCAGCCTGTGAAGCTCCACTAACCAATAGAGAGATGAGGTTTGGTCTTCTCACAATTGAAAGAACAATGCTGCTTCTTTCTGGAAAATTGAAATTGCACTAGAATTTCTTCTAATTTAAAAATGTTATTTCTAATTTATTTCTTCTAATTTAAAAAATCATTTTAGTTTTTTTTTTTTAAATATAACAAGCTTCTTAAATCTATTTCCAGCTTCATTAATGTGAAAATTATCATTCCCCTCTACTACTTTCCTAGGTCTTTATCTAAGGAAGATAACAACCGATGGAGTTTCTACTTTCAAAAATATAAGCTGAAGTTGTTTTTTTCATCCTGGAAAACTGTCAGGCACACAAAATAAACAACTCTGTATGTAAGTGCGAACAGAAGCAACTTGCCATTAAAAACCTCCTACACCATTGTCTGCTGTATGCAGCCTTTAGCTCCCATTCCAATGAAATCTTAAAATATCCTTGCTTGGATGGGAGAGGTGAAGAGACAAGGCTAGCATTTGCAGTCCTTTATTTACCCATGACTACTTTCTGGGTATAGTTGGAGAGCTGAGAGCACGGCTTCAAGACCCGAGCTCCATGCAACGGGGTGAACTCCTGTTGTTTGTCCCAGCTCCTGCCCACCTAGCAGTTTGAAAACATGCAAATGCAAGTAGATTAATAGGTACCACTTCAGTGGGAAGGTAACAGTGTTCTGTGGGCATTTGGTGCACATCCATACTGGCTACATGACCATGGAAAATATCTTCGGTCAACATTGGCTTCCTCGGCCGGGGAATAGAGATGAGCACCAAGCCTTAGAATCACATGCGACTGATAGGGAAACTGTTAGCAATACTTTCTTTTGATACTTACTGTGGAATCTTCATAATTCAGACATAACCACAAAGTCTTCTTCGGGTTCCACAAGACATTGTTGTGCAGTTCATCTGTTCGCATGCAGGTGTTTCTGCAATCCCAGTCAGATGCTATTCTGACTGGGATTACTTGAAAATTGTGTCCCTCACAATCTCTGATCAGTTTTTGCCAGTGCCCACCTTCAAAGCCAGAAGAGCAGGGGTCTTTCAAACTTGACAGCTTTAAGACTTGTGGACTTCAACTCCCAGAATTCCTCCTCCAGTCATGTTAGCTCAGGAATTCTGGGAGTTGAAGTCCACAAGTCTTAAACTTGCCAAGTTTGAAGACCCTTGCAGTAGAGGCTTAGCAGCAATATAAACACTTAATAACTGTGGCAACTTTAACTTGGGTGGACTTCAACTCCCAGAATTCTCCAGGCAGCAGGGCTGGCTAGGAGATTCTGGGAATTGAAGTCCACATGTCTTAAAAGTCACCAAGGGTGAGAAATACTTCTTGATAGTGCACTTTTTATAGCGTATAAATAACATATCTATAATAGAAATTACACAAATGCATTACCAAAAGTAGAGGGAGATGGGCTTATGACAATTATATGGGCTAACCAAAAGGCTGGGGAGGCTTTGCCCAGGTTTGAATCCTCTTGTCTAGGCATAAGGGACAGTGGAAAAGCCAGTCCCAGCAACGGGCTGGGACTTCTTTGAATGAAATAAAAGGCTGCAGAAGATGAAGAAGAGGCGCCTCCGCTTCACCCTAACTGGAGAGGCTTACCTTCGCTTCACCACGGCGACCGCTTTGAACACGTCGTCCCGCTTGAGAACAGCCCAGTCTCCCTCGCAGATGACATGGGGAGAAGGGGACCGAGGAGACGCCTCCATACTGGCGACCCTTCCGCTCGACGCGGGAAAAAAAAAGAAAGAAAAAAAAAATCCTCGCGCACAGGCGCCAACTCAGGAAAGGCCCTCTTCCGGTTTTCCCCAAAAGCACGAGCCGCGGAAGCGATTTTGTTTCCTCTCTTCTGAAAGAGCGGTTGGTCTGACGGACATTTGGTCATAAAGATCGAGGGATAGAGAGGCGCAAGTTGATCGTGAGGAGCATGTTGATCGTGACTGGTGCCGTCAGAGGAGTCTGACGAACGATAAAAAAAAAAAAATACGGGCAACTACAATCACCGGCGACTCTCTTGCGCAACTAGGGATTTCTGTTCCTGAGGGGTTTTTTTTTGGCCGCTCTATAATTTGACAGCTCTATGTAGACACTCTTTTCTAGTTTACCACGTAGAGTTAGAAAAAAAGAGAAGGGTGCTAATTTATAACTTACGGATGCTTCCGGGCTCCTTTTAGTACAACCCCCGTTTCGGGCCGGACGTGAAGAAGAAATCAGTGTCATAACGCTGCTGTGGCACATAATCAACTCAAGATGCAAAATGTTTTTGCGAGATTTATTTGCTTTTATTAGTAGAATGTTCTTTTTTAAAAAAGTGTTTCATCACAATAACAGTATTACCTCCTAGACCACGGAGGGAAGATGCGTTCATTCATACAGATATTTTAACAGCGTACGTACGCCATCGAGTCCGATCATTCATCCATTCAAAATGCAGCTTCAGTTTGTCCTCCAGCCCTCCAACTCTAGGAGAGGCTTAACTTGCTAGGAGATATAAAGGACATATACAAACTTGAAACACAACCCAGAATATGGGTAGTAACAGAAAGAGGAAATGATTTATTTTGCACTGTAGGGTTTGGGGGAAGGGAATTGATAAAAGATCGACTTCATTGGCACAATTATGCTAGGATCACATAATCATTTCGCTGTCTCTAGTCCAGTCAAATGGAGAGAGACTCCCCTCTCGGTTCAAGCATTTTAAGTCTCCAGAGTTTCAGAGGCAGAAAAAGCGTGTATGGGACGCGAGTCTTTTCTTCAAGTCAACAAGTACGAAGTCTACATTCATGCCACTGATTCCCAACTTCGGCCACAAAAAGAGTGTATGGACTTTAATTCTCTAGCTAGCATTTGAGTAGACCAAGGGTCTTCAAACTCGGCATGTTTAAGACTTGTGGACTTCAACTCCCAGAATTCCTGAGCTAACAACTGGAGAAGGAATTTTGGGAGTTGAAGTCCACAAGTCTTAAAGCTGTCAAGTTTGAAGACCTCTGATTAGTAGACGGCCTTGTTTCTCAGTGTCATATATGTGGTGTGTATATATTTATTTATTTATTTATTTATTTGATTTGCCAATTGTTTACAAGATAATAAGTATAAGTGTATACATAGTTATGAATACATGAAATGGGTACATATAAGAAAAATAAAATAAGAGAAACAATAGGACAGGGACGGTAGGCACGTTGGTGCGCTTATGTGGGTGTGTACATAATTATTTAGCCGTGTGGTGTATCTTGGAGGTGGTAACCCTTCGAGAGGTGAACGCAACGAATTGTCGTTATAATGTATGCCGAATTCAGTGTTGCTTTCGGGGTGACAAAGTTATTTCTAAAGTTTCTGAGTGTTCTAAAAGTACTACGAATTTCCGGGAGTTGTGAAGTGCACCCGCGCCTTAAAGCGGTTGAGGGGGAAAAAAACGGCGTTAGGGAAACGCCAGAAACCCCACGTGACTTGCCCGTTTCCCGCCTAAGTGTTCGGAGGGGTCGCGAGCGGAATCTTGGCAACGCAGCGGCGCCAGTTCTGATTGGTTGTGAGCCTCTCCCCCTCCCCCGCCTTCTCATGCCAAGGGAAGCTTCGCTGCGCCGCGCCAAAAATTAAATGGAGGAACGAAACCTAACGAGGGGATCCGACGGGAAGAGGTTGAGGGGCGGCCGGTCGGGGACGCTTTGAGGCGTCTTGGCCGTCGCCCTAGGCTTTCGATCGGATACGTTTTCACTCTTTCTGCATTCGGCGGTAACTTACACTTTAAATCTCCAAAGCGAAGCGTTCGGGAGACCAAATAATAATAAAAATCTAGCTGAGTTTCTCCGCGGAATGGCCGAGGATTTCTTTTGTTTTCTCCTCAAATGGAGGAAAGCCGAACTATAGGAGGAAGTTAAGGACGCCGGATATAGGTTGACCACCTTCCCCAATAATTGGGTTAATTTTCTTTTTTCTTTTAAAAAGGACTCCGTGGAGTGTACTTGGGAATCGTGATGAGAAGGAAATGAGGGGGTCCCTCTGATTGGCAGCGGTTTTATTCCGTGTTTTCCTTTAATAGTTAGATGTTCAGGCAGTCCTCAACCTACCGTTTTTTCACACTTATGACCTTTGCAGCATATCTACGGTCAAGTGATTTATATATGGATGCTTTGACAACTGACTTACATTTATGATGGTGGCAGTGTCCTTGCAACCTTCCCACAAGCAATGTTAATGGGGAAACCAGATTCACTTAATAGTCGTGTTACTAATTTAACAACTTGACACAAATGTGACAAGACAAGTTGTAAAATGGGACCAAATTCACTTAACAAAATTTCTCACGTAGCAACATAAATGTTGGGCTCAATTGTGGTCATAAGGACTACCTGTATAGGTTTTTTTGAAATTATTTTGCACTTGCAGTGAAAGGGTGTGTTGGTGCAGCGCTATTACAATTTGTTTGAAAGTAAACCTCCCCCACTGTATTAACTGAATCCTAAATAGATTTGGAACACATGCATTTAGATAATTTTGTGTGTGCTATGCCTATTGGATTCAATTCCAACAATCATGTGTTTATCACATTAACTCACACTTGAAGTTTCTCTAAATCAGTCTAACTTTCTACAGTAGTTAACAGGTCAGGGATAGGGAATTGAAATTTTCTAAATGTTGTTGAAGTGCTATTCTTAATGGCCCAGTTAATACCTGGAAATTATTTGATATTGAAGATTCATATATGAGCTTATCCATAATATTACAGGTTTGGTTTGGGCCTGATATATTGTGTGAATCTATTGTTTTTCATTTGTAAACAAAAGTGTAAAACATTGTCCAAAAGTCACTAATTGTGATTTATTCAATAAAGCATAGTTAAACCATGGTTTAGTTTGATTTAAAGACTTAGACAGATATTTAGCTTTGGGGGATATAGAAGGGCTAGAAGTCAGGAACTTGAAGTAAACTGCTACTTATAATCTCCAACACCACCATAGAAACAAATCGATATCTGCCTTAATAACTATATTCAAAATTAATGTATGCTACACATGTATTGTCTTTTGATTCAGAATGCAGATCTATTAAAATGCCAAGATGAGTACTGAGCCTAGCAGGAAAGATTCTGGACGAGGAGGAGGTAGTTTTCAAAGATGGAGAAGAGGAAGATGGCAAGGGAGAGGAAAAGGAAGTGGACAGAAAGAAAACTGGAAAAATGCTGGCGAGAAATTAGTATTGGGTATGTTAATTCCACAGCTTTATTCATTTATTTATAGCATTCATATGATTGCCCAAATCAAGAAGCATGACTGAGCAGTGTACAAAAATCACCTAACATAGGAAAACAATACATACCATTAACACCCCCCCCACTTAAGTTGCTAAAACAATGAAATGGTGGTCAAAAATAAAATATATGTTAACTAAACCAGTTGGGAACTCTGCTTATCTTTGGCAGTCTTCCTTGGCCTTCCTGGGGGCCAACCACATATGGAGGGGAGGGAGAGAAACATAATTTCAAAAGGAAGGGGCTGCCACAAAGAAGACCCACCTCGTGAAGTGACATTGTTTCAGTGAAAATGAATGTTTTCATTCTGGAATTGTTTCAATCAAAGTCATTCCAAATAACATCTCAGAACCGTCCCTGCAGGATCTTATTTGCTTTGGAGACTTAAAATAACTAAAGTTTCTGATTTTTAACATAATAGCTTATAATAGCATAATACAATATCTGAAGCCTGTATTGTTATGCTATAACTTAGATAATTTTTTTAAAAAAACTGAATCGTATGGTTAAGCTGCCCCTCTGTACAGTACAGGTGTCATTACCTTTATCATTTTAAATGCAGTATTGGCAGCTACGGTATGGTATATAAATTGTTTTTAATGACAAATTAAAAATGCTCAATTTTATCACTAATTTTTTGAGGGGATACTTTTCAGCGCAACCTCATCTTATTCAAACAACGCTGGACCAGGCTACTCCATATAAAGGCTGGAAACTTTATTTCCCTGAAGGTGAGGTCTTTTCCTTGTACATGGTATAGCTGAGAGCTGGCTAGGGTTGGAATTTACAAGCTGTAGATCATGATGTTCTGGGAAAGCATGAGCAAATTTTGAGAAGAGAGTCACAGGTTTTTTTTAAAAAAGATTGTACATACAACCTTATGCTCAGATTGCTGGCAGAACTTGTTCCTGTTCTGTCCTCATAAATTCCTTCTCTGCCTGAATGAGGCAACCAAGTTTGGAGTATTAGCCTTATGCTGGATTGGCAGAGGCATATTCTCACATACTGTATATCGACAGAGATTACAACAGACCAAAGAAGTCGAGTGGATGTGATGAAATAACGAGCATGTGGTTTATTTTAGTATAACAACATCATAGCTTAAAGTGAGAAAGAGCTAGTATGGTATAGTATTGGTGCTGGACTAGGAGTTGGGAGGGACTAGATTCTACTCATCCTTTGGGTACAGAAGCCCATTGGGTCAACTTGGGCCACGCATTCCCTCAGCTCTAATCAACGTCAGGCTCTGCAACAAGCCAAATGAAAAACAAGATTTATTGCATATTTCTGGTACCATATAAAAAATAAAATGCAAGTAGAATACTTTTTTCTAAATGTTTGGATTTGCATATGTTGTACGATTTGTTTCATGCACAAATAATATGGGTTGTGTAAGTTGTGCTATTTGCAGTAAAGAAACTTATTTATATAAAAAAGTAATGTAATATTTTGAAACATGCAAATTAAAAAACATGTTTTAGGATATGATCAAAAGTTCACAAACTTTTAATTTTTTAAACATAACTACTCTAATTCACATGCCTAGCGTGTGAATTCTCTCATTACAACTTAGTACTACATCACATGATAGTTAAATCCTGGTTTATCATGTGTATTCAACTACTTATTTTTGGCATGCCTAAAACTTCATAAAATGAAGCTATAAGATTTCTCTCTGGCATCATTAATTATGGTAACTACAGTCAAAATAATGCTTGTAAGATAAAAGATGGTCAGTAAGACAAGATTATATTTACTTCAAGAAATTAAATTCTTAGTATTGTAAATATTAATGGAGTGTCTTTAAATCCTCAGGAGAACTTTTTAAAGCTGCAGCTAAATATGTTATATTAAACAATATTAAAGATTAGCTTGTAAAATCAATAGTTTGTTGATTAATATGTTCTTACATGTCCAATGTTATCTACAACCATAACTATATTAACTGTATTAATCAAAATTCTCTAATTCAGCATATGATGACAAATCACCTTTTGTTCAGAAGATTGTAGCTTTTGAAACTTTTTTCAAATCTCGAATAGAGTTTTATGATAAGGTAAGTTATTAGACTATATGTTGTTTGATATACTGTTGTTTTCTGAAGTTGGTTTAACCACACATTTGTATATTTGCTTCTTGTTTTATATGCTGAGGGAATCCAAGGTATTTATGAGCATTTTAATTTTGTTTTTTCTTAAGAGAATTTTGCAGATTGATTCTGTCAGAACCTTTAGAAAATTTGTTTCATCTTATTCTTCAGCACTCCATGATCTGATTTTTTAATGCTACGATTTGTATTTGGATGGATAGACAAATAGAGGAAATTTTTAGAAAACAAAGAAGTATTCTTATCCTAAACTATACCTATTTTGTTCTTCACATATTTAATTATTTGCATAGTGTGTATTAACCTTTCAATCAAATTTATCTGATTTATCATTTTTATTTTGTGCTCAAAGTAAAAAGAGGGAAGCATATGTCAGTGGTGTTGCTAGGGTCAATGAACAAAGAACTTATGAGATCATCCTCATATAATGCAGATGATGCATATTTTGGAATATGAGGCAGTTAAATCAACAATTGGTATTTTTAGTAAAATATTTTTCTTTAATATTTGAGAATGCTTGAACAACTTACAACTATGATTAAAATAATGTGTAATGGAGTAAACAACAAATAGAGTTGTAACTTTACTAAACACAAATTCACACACCTCTATTTTATAGGATGAAGTAGAAAGAAAAGGAAGTATTCTAGTGGATTATAAGGAACTGATATGTGATAAAGAATTAGTGGAATCATTACCCGATGTTGCTATTGAATTAAGAGAAACACCACAAAGAATATTGGCTTGCATGGGTCTGGCCATACATCAGGTAAATGCACTAGACAAATAATAGATAAAGCCTTATTATTCACAAAATGCAAATCTTATCTAAGAGAACAATTATATTTACACTTCATGTAAAAAAGGAACAATAATACTATCCATACATACACATATCTTAAAATAAAGCCTGGCTGAATTCAACAGGATTTAGAAATTTACATAAAGTTTGAGCCCAAATCTTAAACCATTTAGTTTATATTCTTGGGGTAAATGATGTAACAATAAAAAAGGAAACATGAATATTTTATAACTGCCTGGCAGTGAAATCCTGCATATGTGTGTTAAGCAAGATTCCCTATGTTTTGAAAAGCAGGCCAGCATGAGCAGAGTATGAATTAAAGCGGTCCCATCATTTAGAGGTGTTATGTAGTTGCTTCAAAAGGTGTTTGTGTGTCTGTACATGTGTGCATGCACAGCAACTTTGCTGACATTCACATCAGAATTCTCTCACAGAAAAGCAGATAAAAGCTAGAAACAGCTGCATTAGGACTTTATAATGCTAAGTAGTTTGGTCTCTAATTGCAGAGGCCTTTAAACAATCTCAATTGGGATTAGGGAATCCGTTTGAATAGTATAGCAGGGACAATGCATACTACAATAGAAAAGAAAAAATAAATTACAAGACAAATTTCCCTTTGATAGTTAAAAGCACCATCTGCTTCTAAAAATGACATTTATATATTAATTACTTAATGGAAGTCAGGCAGTTTCTTTTTTATTCTCTAGATATTGATCAAAGACCTTGAAAAGGATGCTGCAAAGCTGCAAGAGCAAGAAGGGTTGGCCACTGACGAAGAGCCTATTATAAATGTGCCACTTATTCATGCAAGGTATCTGTTTTTTAAAAATTATTCAATTATGAAAAAAACTGAAAATGTTTCTAAAAGTTTTATAAACTTTCTTCTATATGAATACAAAATGGCAAGAACTCTAAGTCACTGACATTTTTGAGAAAATGATAGCATAAGAAATTGTAGAAAATGTTAATAATATTACTAATTTCTAGAATATCACAGAAAGCTGGTATTAAACTTGTACCAATAGTCATATTGACCAAATTGTGGATTGCCCCAATCAATGCTAGGATTGTTTTTACCTGGTGCAAAGAGCTAATTTATCACACAAAGCAGAAAATTGCAACTACTTTATTCTGTACAGCAACAAAGAGGTGTTCTTGAGATCCAAATCAAGAACCTCTTAAAAATACAGTAAATTACCATAGTTTTTATACATTTACCCCCCCCCCCCACAAAATCACATCATAACTAGCAAGCAATAGGCAACAACTAGTAAATTATTCATAACATTGGTAGATGGTTTTCTCAGAAGTTGGGTTCATTACTAAAATATTGTAGCCCTTGTCCTTGTCCTTTTGTCTCTAATTGATAGCTGAGTATACATTTTCTAGATAATTTATCTACAAAAGGAAAAGGGAGTTAGCTTTAAATGTACTGCTGGGGGAAAGGGTAGTACTTTTTTTTTATAATAGCAACCACATGATCTTTCCAGGAATTTGCAAGGCAGAGCAAACTGCTAAAAGGGGAAAGAGAAAAAAAAAATGAATTTCTCTAACTCAAGCCAGCTATACCAGTCCTTCACTCACCTAATTGAAATGATGATACTATTGCTGCATGTAGGAATAATTTCTCTGCCCGCATTTAGATTTATCAATGAGGCACACTTAGTTCAGAGAAATACCTTGATAAGATTACATCTTTCTGTTTATTTGATTTGTGAGGCCAAATATTTTTTCATTCCTACTTTATAGCAAATGAAATTTTCTATTTTATCCCCTCTGGAAAGCTATTCTATAGAAACCATAGACAATCAGCAAGGTTAGCCATGAATAACTCAGAAATAACTTCAGAGAAGTACATTATTTAGAAATAGACCTAAAAATTAAGCAAGCTTAAGTGTGCCTAAAGTAGCCCTTCTCCAGAATGCAATCTTGGGTTTTATTATGCTTGAATGCAAGTAATATGAACTTTCATTCAGACCATCTAGCAGTAATTATTTTCTGCCTTGAAGGATGTTGCTTTGAAAATATCATCACTGTACCAAATCTGGAAGGACTTTTTCCGTTATGTCTTTACAGAGATTGCCATATAATTGGAATGATGTATTACAGCTTGAAAATTCTATTTTTATTTGAAGTAGCAGGACTAAACATTTCAAGACATTACTGAATGTTTCAATTTTTTGTACCATAGGATCTATTATTTTCTGGAAGGCATACAATTATGACATTGTAAAGGTTCCTAAATTGAATGTAGCAATTATATTATGTAAGAATAACTTAATAAAGAAAAAACTTCTCAGAAAGCTTTTATGTTTAATATTCTGATTAATTATTAAAATGCATTAATATCCAAATGCATACTGTACATATATGCAGCTTTTCTCTGAATTTTGGTGTGCTAAAATAATTTTCAGTATAACTGAAACTGGATACATGTAAATAAGTTTTTACAATTATAATGTATGTGCTAGGACTGACTCACAATAGAAAAAATGTTATTTAAACATGCAGGATATTCTTCTAGAAAAAAAAAATGCATTGGCTTCATTTAGAGCAGGGGTGTCCAACCTTTCACCTTCCCTGGGCCACATTAGAAGATGAAAATTTGGTTTGGGCCGCACATAATTAAATTAAATAATAAATTAAATTAAATTAAATTAAATTAAATTAAATTAAATTAAATTAATAAAATAAAATAAAATAAAATAAAATAAAATAAATAAAATAAAATAAAATAAAATAAAATTATTTATTATTTATTATTTATTATTTATTATTTATTATTTATTAAAAATTATTTATTTTTTATTTTATAATTTTCTGGCCAAATTTTGCGGGGTGGTTGTGGGGGGAAGCTCGCCTGCCTCACGCCTACCTCTCCTCCTGCAAATTATTTATTTTTTATTAATTTTCCGGCCAAATTTTGTGGGGAGGGGGGGAAGAAAGCTCGCCCGCCTCACGCCTACCTCTCCTCCTGCAAATGCAGCAGCGGCGGCAGCTGTGGCGGGGGCAGAAGCAGCAGCGGCGGTGGCGGCGGCGGGGGCAGAAGCAGCAGCGGCGGCAGCAGCAACGGGGGCAGAAGCAGCGGCAGCGGCGGCGGGGGGCAGAAGCAGCAGCAGCGGCGGCGGGGGCAGAAGCAGCAGCGGTGGTGGCGGCAACAGCAGGAGGTGGCGGGGCGGGACTTTTGGGCTGCGGCTGCCCGCCTTTTCTGTTGCTCGCCTCGCCCCGCCTCGCGCCTGCCTCTCCTCCTCCTTGCTGGATCTTTCATGAAGGTTGGGGTGGGCGTTGGGCCGCATTATGAGGCGACCTGGGCCGCATGCGGCCCGTGGGCCGCGGGTTGGACAAGCCTGATTTAGAGAAAATTAAATTCAGTTTCATTTAAATCCATGACACGTGTAAGTTGTAATAAATTAAAAATTTTTATTACCACTCTATCTATTACACACACCATATTTTCACCAATTGTTATTATATGAATACTACTATTTCAAACATGGTGAACTTCCACTAAACTATCAGTATATTTATTTAATTTGAATATGTTTTAATATTTTTAGAGTGTACAACTATGATCCAATTAGTCAATTTAAGAATATTCGAGCTAATTGCTATGGGAAGTACGTTGCTTTACGTGGGACTGTTGTGCGTGTTAGTAACATTAAACCTATCTGCACCAAGATGGCCTTTATATGCAGTACCTGTGGAAATACTCAGAGTTTTCCTCTCCCTGATGGAAAATACACTCTTCCAACAAAGGTAATAAAAAAGCCCTCAAATCAAAAGTGCTACCTCCTACTTTTTTCTGAGTAGTATGTAAAGTAATACGTTTTCGGGATGTGTTGTTTACTGCACATTTAAGGACATCAATCATACCTTGATGAAGGGATTTTAAAAATTGTAATTCATTTTAAGTGTTTTCTTTAATGGAAATACAAATTAATCAAGGATAAGTGCAAGCCTCCCCAAAACAGACACAACAAATGTGGCTCACAGCAAATAAAGTTATGGTATAAACTTTTTTTTGTACTAAATTTGACCATTAATGTGTTTCAGTGTTCTTTGCCTGAATGTCATGGACGATCCTTCACTGCAGATAGAAGTTCTCCTTACACAATTACAGTGGACTGGCAGTCAATTAAGTAAATATATAATGTTACCCTAATATTTTGGAAATTTAGAAATTTAGATTATTTACAGTAAATGTAAGGAATTAATTATACAATCTCTTTTATTGTAATACTAAAACATTACATTGACTAATAATTCCATTCAAAGAAAAAAAACACCTCATTTTATCTATAAAGTTATCCTTGATCCAGAGACAGTCATCTCCTTTTTCTGTAAGATTGGTATTGTGAGAAATCTAGATTGAACTCTGGCTATTTGTACTTTTCCTTTCTCCATAATGCATGTGTGTGTGTGTTTCTGAAGATGTGTGGGTGCATATTTTAAGAAAGGTTTTGTGGATTTTTGATTCATCATTCATTTAAACCTATCTTCCGCTCTGAGAAGTGTTTCCCAAAAATATATTGGTACTCTAAAACCAAAAGAAAAACAATGTTTGTTTTGACCTACCTATATATGCTCAATATTTTATAAATCTTAATTCTCCTCCACCAGTGGTATCATGTCTTTTTTTATTATTAACTTGGTATTCCAGAATTCAAGAACTCATGTCAGATGATCAGCGAGAAGCTGGGAGAATTCCTCGGACAATAGAATGTGAATTGGTTCATGATCTTGTGGATAGTTGTGTTCCAGGCGATATGATAACTGTTGCAGGAATTGTCAAGGTATCAAACACGGAAGAAGGTGAACTATATCAACTTTTATGTATTGACATCTGTACAGTATTTTATCAATTTTGGAAAATGGCTATTAATTTAGTTGTCTATCTGTATATTTTTGTTTTTCCCAATTAGTGGACCAAAGCAAAACTTAATTAATGTCAAAGATTACAGCCACAAGATTTAAATTAAAACAGTATATTAGTACACAACTACTTGAAAGTGTTTCCAGAGAGAAACTGCTCTTAGTTCTTTCCTTCTGGGTAGTGAGGGGAGCTGAAGCCAAGAGGTGTTGTAGTTTTAGTGGCAGAGCAGTCTTCAGGAACAGTGTCCTTCATAGCATTCAAGATGGTGAAAATTCAACATTTTGTAACTAAACACGGAGTTTTAGCCATTTTTGTATTTTTATCTTACAGTTACTTTATCTTAGTTTACTTGGATCTTATAGCTTATTTTATTTACTGGATTTTAAGATTTATTGTGGCTGTTTTAATGTTTCTCCATCACATAAGCCTCCAAATATCACTTAGATTATGGTGGAGCACAAATGCACTAAATAAATAAATAAATAAATAAATAAATAAATAAATAAACACACACACACACACACTTTACAAAACAGGACAGATAAAGCCATGTAATAAAGGAAAATATGTTTAGCTCAAGGTTGACGTTTGATTACCCAAACCAGGTAACATCCTAAGTTACATCTTAAAGCAGAAAGATGATCATGATCTTTCTATTGATATTTTAACAGGAGCATCAAGAAATAAAAATGATAAATGTGTCTTCCTATTATACATTGAAGCAAACTCTATCAGTAATACAAAAGGCCAGAAAATCAAGAATTATGAACATGGATTAAACCAACAAGGATGCATGGAGTTTTCACTTAAAGATCTTTACGCAGTCCAAGAAATCCAAGCTGAAGAGAATCTGTTCAAGCTTATTGTCAGGTATGTCATTTATTGCAAGTCAGGGGATGTATTTTATTTGCCGCCATGTTTCAGCCAACCTATTTTGAGTATTCACATATGTTTGGAGTACATGCTCTTTTGTACAGAAAAAACATTTTGTAAAACATCAGTTATTACATGTTTCTGAATCTCTACCATCTTCAAAACATGAACATGTTGTAGAAAAGAACATCAGAGATTGGACCATTGCAAGTTATTCTTAATATTCATGAAAGGATAACTACAGGTTGCCTCTAGCATTTAATCTGGTAGGAGTCACAATGTTCTAAACATCACATCAAAACAAACAATCCAAGCAATTATAATATTTAATGTGTTCTACACATGCTATTTATCCTTCCTTCAGGGTATTCCAGAGCTTAAGGGTCCTTGGTGCTCTCTAAGCTTGGTTGTTTTTTTGCAGACATTTCAATACCCAAACTAGTCTAATACCACTGATGATATTACCTAGGTTGGGTAACGAAACATCTGAAGCTACAAATAGTCTCCTTTCTTGGTATTCTAGAACTGGATTGAAAATAGGGCTTAGAGAACAGGACATAGAAAGTCCCCACCCAAGTTAAGAACCTAGAATAATTAAATAGTGTTATTGTCAGGAAATCCAGTGTGACTATAAGTTAGTCTTTTTTGGACCCATGCTCAGGCTGGTAACCCATCCATGGAATTGGCAACTGCACAGTAGTTTGCCTTTTCCTTCTTCATGAGCAGTAGTTTAATTTCCCAATAAATCTTACAGGTCTGGGATATCCTGTCTCACACCTAACTACTAACCAAGCCTGATCTTGCTTAGTTTCCAAGTCACATAAGTTAGCAAGTGCTATTGCTGGTGCCTGAAGATAGTAAATTGTAATTCTGTTTTAGAGAACTTTCTCCCCCCAAAAAGCCTATAACAACAATGGAGGATCCGTCCTACCACATCCATCAGATATATAAGATCTATAAATCAGCAAAACAAGAAAATTTAGGTGTTTTAAGTATGATAATAGAACTATTGAGAGCAAGCATGGTACAAGCTGTTTGATTGGCGTTGGAGAACTGCAAGCTCAAGTCCACTTATGGCTTTGTAAGTGACTTGGAGCCAATCATCCTCTGTTAACGCCACCTTTCTCACAGATAATGTTTTGGTTGAGAAAAATAGGAGGGAAAGTTATGTCTCCCATCTCCCCCCCCCTCCCCCCAATATGAAAGGCAAGATATAAATCTGACAATAAATATTTGTAAAATGTCTTACTGCCCTGTTGAACTGATAGAAATGCAGTAAAGAGCTTACCATGAGTTCTTACAGCATCGTAGGAAATGGCAGATAATGCTACCCTCTGTGCTGCTGGCAAAATATGGCACTGTTGAAAAGCTTCAGATGTAGGAGGTGATATCAGTTATACTATTTATGACATCACAAACACCATTGTGGACAAATCATGAGGCTTTAAAAGATTATAATGTGACCACTGACAATCTGTCTTTTAAATATTATTTCCAGTCTACAACTGATTTAATACTAGGCTACAATGATTTATTCATGTTTGTTATCTAAAAGGATAGTCTAAGAGTACAGTACAAGAATTCTTTTTGTGTAACAAGTATCCTATCCATTCTAAAAGATAAAGTCTTAGACACCTAAACTTAATTACATTTAACTTGAATTGATTTCAATGGCATAATAAATAATTTATTAGATTTAGCATAGCTACCTACTCCAAAAGGCTCTGGGCAGCTTTAATGTAAAAGTAAAAATTAAAAACATTGCAACAAAATGTTATTGCTACAATCATGATTAATTGCATAGCCAGCCAGATGTTTAGACTGGATTTGGCATAGGTATCCACCTACTGGGTCCTTCCTAAGGATCAGGGATAGGCAGATATTGATACTTGATGGTATTAAAGGTATCATCATAGGATGCAAGCTGTGTTTTGCAATTGACTGATAGTCGTGTTTCAGATGTTTTGGGATTGCATATTACTATTTGCCTATTACTATTTGGTACATATTTGCTTTCTACTGCCACAGTCGTTCCACTTCTATCTGCAGGTCAAAGAGTAACTAATATCTAGTAGGTGTTATTTTCTGAGTTTCTCTTCGCCCCCACAATATATAATTGAGAAAACTTATTTTTCAAATATAGATTGTAGTCTTGCATATTCCTGTATTCTTGGCTGTTTTGGGTGTTCTCTCTCTAGTACAGTAATAATCTCATATTTTGCCTATGTGCTTTTAGAAGGCTATAGAATTTGATAGGAGAGAAACAGTTTGGTGTAGTGATTAAAGTGCTGGCCTAGAATCCAACAGATTATGAGTTCTAGTCCTGCCTTGGGCATGAAAACCAGCTGGGTGACTTTGGGCCAATCACTCTCTCTCAGCCCTACCCACTTCACAGGATTGTTGCTCGGAGCAAAATAGAATGGAATATTGATATGTTTGCCACCTTGAGTAATATATGCAAAAGGATAATCCCCCCTCCATAGGTAATCCAGTATGCATCCATACTTAAGTAGTATTGCACAATGTACATGCTACATAATTCAGGTGAATGATGTTTCATTTGCGTTCTTTTTATACAGAGTTTGTGAATAAATAGATTTGAAATACATAATCTTAAATATGTTTTTTCTGTTATATTTAACCTGGTAATACATTTTTTTTCTTTCTAGCTCTCTCTGTCCTACTATTTATGGTCATGAGGTAAGTAAACTCTAACGGAAATATTCAATGAATTGTATTCCAAATGCTTAGTAGAAAATAAAATATACTATGGGCCTAGTTTATAAAGTACATTTTAATTGTCTGCTAAGAAAATGTGAATGAGGTTATTGTTTCTGTGGTGTTTCTGTTATTGTAATCCCACTATTAGAATTACTAATATTATTCAGTATATTATATCAGAATTAAAATGAGTTTTAATTCCTCACATAATCTGATTTATGCTTGTTTTCAAGACCTTAATAAAACTATATGGAAGGGTTCTGACAATATGCTAATAGCTACCTATAAAAATGCACCATTATTTTATTAAAATGATCCATGAATTAAAAAGTGCATAATGGTTAAAAAGACTTGTATGATAAAATAACATGCTTACTGTTCTGGCACGGTTGTGCTGTAAAAGATTTTGTAACAATTTTTGGAGGACTTTATTTGATGCTGTACTTCACAAGACTGAAAGAAACGAAACAAAAGGTTTTTTTTAAAAAATTGTCTGAACCTGGTATGTTACCATTTCATTTTATTTCTACTTCTGAAGAGTTAGAGGCTTCTTGCAAATATTGATAGAGAATATCTGAAACATGTAGTACTTAGACTGAATTGTCCCTTGCAAATATTTTATGCGTTGCTATCTTGTGTCACAGGTAGTAAAAGCTGGTTTAGTGTTGACATTATTTGGAGGATGCCAAAAATATATGGATGATAAAAACAGGATTCCTATTCGAGGGGATCCACATCTTCTCATGGTTGGAGATCCAGGACTGGGGAAAAGTCAGATGTTGCAAGTATGGATTCATTTGTTTATGCACGTAGCTTATTTTTTATGCTTAACTACCAAGTTTTTTGAAATAGTATTTTGTATCACTGGATATCGTATTATTTCAGAATAATTACATATATTCTTCTTTGGGCATTTTATTCTTTTTAATATAATTGGGTATGTTATCAATATGGGTAATGGTCTATAATATGCAAAGCTAGCCTTTTCAATTTGTTTCTTCAGGCTGTGTGCAATATTGCACCTCGTGGAGTATATGTTTGTGGCAATGCCACTACTACATCTGGTCTGACTGTAACACTGTCTCGAGACAGTTCCTCTGGAGATTTTGCACTAGAAGCTGGTGCTCTTGTACTTGGAGATCAAGGTATAGTGTTCTAGTGTATTTATCCGGATAAAAAAACTATGTAAACCTTATAGATGGGCACATTTATGATAGTATAAGCTTCCCTTTTACTGGAAGCTTGAGATGCAATCTTAACTGACAGGCATATAAAGGTGAAACTCGAAAAATTAGAATATTGTGCAAAAGTTCATTTGTTTCAGTAATGCAACTTAAAAGGTGAACCTAATATATGAGATAGACTCATTACACGCAAAGCAAGATAGTTCAAGCCGTGATTTGTCATAATTGAGATGATTATGGCTTACACCTCATGAAAACCCTAAATCCACAATCTCAGAAAATTAGAATATTGTGAAAAGGTTCAGTATTCTAGGCTCAAAGTGTCCCAATCTAATCAGCTAATTAAGCCATAACACCTGCAAAGGGTTCCTGAGCCTTTAAATGGTCTCTCAGTCTGGTTCAGTAAGAATCACAATCATGGGAAAGACTGCTGACCTGACAGTTGTGCAGAAAACCATCATTGACACCCTCCATAAGGAGGGAAAGCCTCAAAAGCTTCAAAAGAAGTTGGACGTTCCCAAAGTGCTGTATCAAAGCACATGAATAGAAAGTTATGTGGAAGGGAAAAGTGTGGAAGAAAAAGGTTCACAAGCAGCAGGGATGACTGCAGCCTGGAAAGGATTGTCAGGAAAAGGCCATTCAAAAGTGTTGGGGACTTTCACAAGGAGTGGACTGAGGCTGGAGTCAGTGCATCAAGAGCCACCACACACAGACGGATCCTGGACATGGGCTTCAAATGCCGTATTCCTCTTGTCAAGCCGCTCCTGAACAATAAACGTCAGAAGCGTCTTATCTGGGCTAAAGAAAAACAGAATTGCTCTGTTGCTCAGTGGTCCAAAGTCCTCTTTTCTGATGAGAGCAACTTTTGTATGTCATTTGGAAACCAAGGACCCAGAGTCTGGAGGAAGAAGGGAGAGGCATGTTGAAGTAATTCCCCGTTAGGAGAATGAGCGCATACAGGGAGACGTAGTGAGAGTAGTGAAGAATAACACACACACACAGCACACAGATACACTGTACAGTAAATGTAGGTTTTTACTTCCAATAAACGTTTAAGCAAAGTCCAAGATAAGCAGTTCAAGTCATTCACAGGTAAAGCAACCAGTGTTCAGTTCAGGGATAATCCAAAATATCAAAGTCCAGTATCAAAAAACAGTTCAGTAACAGACTTACATCAACCATCAGTAACAGTCATTTAGGAAGAACGACAACACTCTCCAACAGAAGGAACAGATACTCACTGAGACTAACCAACCCAGGTTTCTGGCTCCATCTTACGGCCATTTGCGGAACCACACCCAATTACAGTTTTAGGATTCTCTTAAAGACATAGTATTAAAATGTCTATCCTAGTTTATATATTTCCAACCCAAATAACAGTTAGGTGACTTACATTCCTAACAAGGCACACACCGCAAGATGCTTGAAGTCTAGTGTATAGTTTCCACAGTCTATTGATTTGGGGAGCCATGTCATCTGCTGGTGTTGGTCCACTGTGCTTCATTAAGTCCAGGGTCAACGCAGCCGTCTACCAGGAGATTTTGAAGCACTTCATGCTTCCTTCCGCAGACGAGCTTTATGGGGATGCTGACTTCATTTTCCAGCAGGAAAATGCTGCCAAAAGCACCAAAACCTGATTCAATGACCGTGGGATTACTGTGCTTGATTGGCCAGCAAACTCGCCTGACCTGAACCCCATAGAGAATCTATGGGGCATTGCCAAGAGAAAGATGAGAGACATGAGACCGAACAATGCAGAAGAGCTGAAGGACGCTATGGAAGCATCCTGGTCTTCCATAACACCTCAGCAGTGCCACAGGCTGATAGCTTCCATGCCATACCACATTGAGGCAGTAATTGCTGCAAAAGGGGCCCAAACCAAGTACTGAGTACATATGCATGCTTATACTTTTCAGAGGTCCGATATTGTTCTATGTACAATCCTTGTTTTATTGATTGCATGTAATATTCTAATTTTCTGAGATTGTGGATTTGGGGTTTTCATGAGCTGTAAGTCATAATCATCTCAATTATGACAAATCATAGCTTGAACTATCTTGCTTTGCATGTAATGAGTCTTTCTCATATATTAGTTTCACCTTTTGTTGCATTACTGAAATAAATGAACTTTTGCACAATATTTTAATTTTTTGAGTTTCACCTGTACTTTTCAAATATTGGGAAACAGAGAATGGGAAGAATCTGATGAGAGAGAAAGTAAAACTAGGCTGGTAGTGATGATTACATAAAAGCAAGAAATACTTATATAGGCAGATACTTTGAGCTAAATTCCCCTCTCGTTCATGTCGGAGGTACCATGTAAGGTGATTTTTGGATTGAAAACATTAGCTGGTGACATCACTGCTGTCCGCCGTTGTCCAGGGTGGTGGTGCCTGTGAAGGCTCTTGTCCCCATCAAGGAGCTGGAGTGGAGGGATGACAGCTTACCCTGACATGCAACACTCTGATCTTGAACGTGGGCTTGGCAACTCCAACCCAACGTCCTAACCACCTGAGCAAGTGTGCTCCTGAGAGCTAAACTGATTACATATTTTATTTCATTTTAAGAATTCCCCACTCCTTTCTAACACTGAAGATTTACTTAGTCTGGTAATAAAACATCTTCAGGCAAACAACCGAGCTTAGAGGGCACCAAGGAGTCCACTGCTGATATGATTGGCTGTTTTGAGTTTTCCATATAAGTTACAAAAAACTATTAAACAAAGCACATGCCTAACATCATGTGATCTGCAATTCAAGTATCATTCAGAAACTTATTTCATGAGAATCGAGGAATTTCTGTTATCCTGAAAAAAATACAAGCTCTAAATAAAGTGTAGCATAATAATATATACAAAAAAATATTAATAATAAGCATTATTTAGGAATTCTAAGAACCTATTAGTTCAGTTGTGTTCTTTAAATGCCTACCGTGAAAGATTTTACCTCTTAGTGAAAAGGGAATTCTTAATTTAAATACTAAATTTTTTCCCTGAATAAATTTCATTTTGAACATGATGGGTTTTATATCGGCATTCTTCTCAGAATTAAATAATTGCCTTGCTTACTTTGTAATTATTTTTCTTTTAAGGTATATGTGGAATTGATGAGTTTGATAAAATGGGGAGCCAGCACCAAGCTTTGCTGGAAGCTATGGAACAGCAAAGTATTAGTCTTGCTAAGGCTGGCATTGTTTGCAGCTTGCCAACAAGGACATCAATTATAGCTGCAGCAAATCCAGTTGGGGGTCACTATAACAAAGCCAAAACTGTATCTGAGAATTTAAAGTAAGTACAGTATTTTCAAAATGTCTGCTTTATAGTTTACAAAACAAACAAAAAAGTAGAGAATTTCTAATAACATTTATTTTGTGTAAATTCTGAAGCTTATTCAGTTCTTTGAGGTAGAACTGTAGTACTGGCCTGGATTTGTTTGTTTTTTTCCATGTAGGATGGGAAGTGCTTTGTTATCCCGATTTGACTTGGTATTCATACTGCTGGATGTTCCAAATGAAGATCATGATCATTTGCTTTCTGAACATGTGATGGCGATGAGAAATAGAAAACAGACTGGATGTAGCAGTGCTACTGTGACTCGTGAGCATTCTCAGAATTCAGATATATCAGTCCTTGAAGTTCATTCAGACAAACCACTAGCAGAGAGATTAAAGGTAAAATATTTATTCGTGTTTTGACTTACTATATCTTATCATTAGGGAATGCTGATGATGTCTGGAAAAAAGGATATATTTAGTACATTTGAAATAAATTGTTTTGAGATAAGATGTTTTGTATATTTAATATGTTTGAGATAGGTTGAGTATAGTTATTAGAGGAATACGATACTCCTTTTTTGCTACAGTATAGTTTGCAAATTTAACATAGCATTATGGGGGACTGAATTATTTCTTTTAACTTTTCTGTTCTTGAAACTGCTGGCCTCATAGGGTAATCTAGAAAGTGTAAAAAAAAGTTAGAAAATCAGAATTCTGTAATATATGAAAAGAATAAATGGAAATTAGCAATATCAAATGCACATATAAATAAAAATAATAGCAAAGTCTTTATAAAAGTAACTTTCTTTGAAGTTTTTAGTCAAGTGTTCAGTTTCTGCTTGGAAGAAATAAGCTTTTGGGTAAACGCTCTATGAGAGTTAAAGGGACGGCAGTTCCAGTGGACAAAGCACTGGGGAGGTAGATCTCAATTATTAAACTTCATTTTTGTACAGTGCTTTAACACTCCAATATGAGAATTCATGTAACAAATGTACAATAGTCTGTGTTATGATTACTTTTTTGTGCTTCTGAGGTTGAGGTGGGAGATTAACGTGTCATTAGATTCTCTTTGAGGATTATTATAGCTCCTATCTGCTCATACCATTTATTTTTTCCAGTTGAAATGGAATATTATAATGTCTAAATAGTATTTTTAACTGTTAGCTTATTCCAGGAGAAAACTGTGACCCAATTCCGCATCAGTTGTTAAAGAAATATGTTGGCTATGCAAGGCAATATGTTCATCCCAAGCTATCTCCAGAAGCTGCTCAGATACTTCAGAAATTCTATCTTGAGCTCAGACAACAAAGTCAAAGAGCAGATAGTACACCCATCACAACACGACAGCTGGAATCATTGATCCGCCTTACTGAGGTACTTCTTCATTTTACAACTGTTACTAAGAATTTTATAGTAGGTGTATTTTGACAGCCCAAAGTACTGGGTTTTAAAACATGGAGACTATAATACAGAATTTTTTTTCTTATGTTGACATATCTGGTTTATTTTAAATGACACATGTTGATGCCACCTGACATTGAAAATGGATCAAATTTAAATATTTTTGTGACTTGAGGAAAACCAATGTTTCTACCATTTTTTTGTGGAAACATATAGTACCCATGGTACTATAAATAAATAAACTGGCATCTGATCTATACATATATGCATGTATATACATACATGAAGACACCCATATATATCAACATTGACTTGAAGGCACCAAAAACAAAGAAATAAAAAAACAAGGAGGGAGTGGCCCAGATACCTTGGAGCTGTTCCATAGGAGAGAACGCATCACTAAATAGATTCAAGCCCAAGGGTCGCTGGAGGTGGCATTCTGTCTTTAGGAAAATGGTACTTCTCTCAGCAAATCTTACTGGTACAGGCAGATTCAAAACAGTTGCTGCCGCAGCACGGAGGCCAGTACAACAACATCACTCTCCACTTGTCCTTCAAACCTAGCCTAAAAATAGCACCTCACATCCAGTTATCTATGGAGCAGTACCAGTTGCCTCCTGTAGGACAAATTGTCTTTCCACCTTATTTAACTTGGCGTTATAACTGATACAACATCTGAAAAACAGATAGGCATATCCCCAAGAAGGAAATTTTCTCCCAAATGTCAGTGATATATGCCAAGCTTGCCTTTTCATCCAAGATCAAATCATGGATGAGAATTTATTAAAGGCAGACCACAATATAAATAATGTTTAATCTAATTGCCAAGCCTTCTAAATTTTGAAGTACAGAATTTGTTCTTAGGTCAACTATATGTATCATCCTTTAATCTAGGAGGTTTAACTGTTACAATATATGCAGAACGCTTGTTTTGCTGCTAAACTATGGTTTCTCTAATATCTCTTTCCAATCTTTTTTAATTAATTGAAGTTTTAGTAGGATGGATATATTAGCTGTAGTCATTTTAATGTTTTAGTAATGAAAATCTCTATTTGCAATTCACCAGTTTGTACTGGCACGTTTTTGGGAAAAAAAAAAATTCACAAAATTCAGAAACCTTGTGATAACAAATTGAAGAATAACTTTTTTCAGGTCTAGTGCAAATTTCTTTCTCAATCGGGGTGCTCAGTCATGGGACTTGGCTTGATATGGAATGTGAACTCAACCATTATGATTTGTAAAACATGGTTTGTGGCTTAGTATTGTGTGTCAGCCCAGCTAAGCAAACTGTGTCTTATTCAATGAACTATTTTTAATATGAATGTGATTCTAACCATGCCGTTTCTGATCCAATTAAATATGGAGATTTGTATATAATATTAGCATTACTGCTTTTCTTTAAGGCACGATCAAGATTAGAGTTAAGAGAAAAGGCCACCAAAGAAGATGCTGAGGATGTTGTTGAAATAATGAAATACAGGTAGTACAAAATTAAATACTACGGTAATAAAATAAAAATCTATGAGCCTGTAACATACAAACTGAACAATATGCAAACTGATGCATTTTTCAGCGAATATAAATCAAAGTATTTTGAAAAATAATCCAAAGTAGAGTAACATGCATTCAATAAACCAAGCACAACCTGAGTAGAATTATAAAGTAAATGTGTTCTTTTATTAAGCTCATTAAAACTCTGATTAAGGAAAAATTCAAAGAAAGTTCTCTGCCTCATTTTCAGTTGTATTTTTCATTTTACTTTCTTGCTGACTACATACATTTTGGTTTACTCTTTTCTCAAGTATGTTAGGAACTTACTCTGATGAGTTTGGGAAATTGGATTTTGAGCGTTCTCAGCATGGTTCTGGAATGAGCAAAAGGTCACAAGGAAAGAAGTTTATTTCTGCCCTCCATCGTGTTGCAGAAAGAACTTATAACAACATTTTTGAGCTTCATCAACTCCGGCAGGTTGCTAATGAATTAAATATGAAAGTAAGTTAAAATAAATATATACTCTAGAAGGATAAAATTAGCTATTGATGTTATCAGATATTGATATCACAGTTGGAAGAGAGAGGATTATTGTTGCTTCCAATGTCTGTGGTTCTACTGATTGAAGTGACCCGGAGCTCCAGTTTTACTTTAGAAATGATATTTGAATTTGATATTACTGGTATTAGCAATAGCAATAGCACTTAAACTTATATACCGCTTCACAGTGCTTTTCAGCTCTCTCTAAGCAGTTTACCAAGTCAGCCTATTGCCCCCAACAATCTGGGTCCTCATTTTACCCACCTCGGAAGGATGGAAGGCTGAGCCAGCCTTGAGCCTGGGGAGATTCAAACTGCCAAATTGCAGGCAGCCGGCAGTCAGCAGAAGTAGCCTGCAGTACTGCACTCTAACCACTGCACCACCACGGCTCATATTGAATGTAACTTGCACAAAACAAAAACATATTTTGCTTAGGAATTTATTTTGTTATTGGATGTAGGTAATGTTTAGGCTATTTTAACTGAAAGTCCTTTAAAGTTGTATTGTTTCTGCAATATTTAACTATAAACACTAGTACAAATTATCTGCCCAATTTTCACTAACTGTGCTTAATCTATTTTGCTACATTTTAACTCCAGATTTCCATTAAACCTTTGTTTTTTTAAGTATAACATTTGAAATATTAATTGAAAAAATGAAATAGATTAAATATGACTAGGATACATTAAGAAGCCAAATTTAATGTAGTGGTTAAGGTACCAAGATAATGGAATTTCTAGTCCTGCCTTAGGAACAAAGCCAGCTGAGTGGCCTTTGGCCAGTCCCTTTCGCTCAACCTTAGGAAGCAGGCCATGGCAAACCACTTCCAAAATCTTGCCAAGAAAACTGTGGGAATTCCTGGTAGTTGCAAGGAGTCACATTGACTCTAAGGTACCAAATAAACAAACCATTGCCTTATGGCATTGTTTCTTAAGTGGGGGTTCCTCAAGACTCTTTCAGAGGTCCACAGAATCAAGGGTTTTCCTGCCCACATTGAAAAATTATACAATATTAAATCTCATCAAACAATTATGAGAAGCAGCAACAGTAGTGAATGCATCAGTTATTAATTCTTTTATACTGCAAATATCAATAAAATATAACCCATTCAAACAAAATCTCTTTTGAGGTCCTGTATAATTTTAAAAAATGAGAAGGGGTCCTGAGAGAGAAAAAAAGTTTAAGAAACACCATCTTCTGAGATGTTGCGATATATATATATATTGATGTAGATTTGCTTCCTAGATGATTTAAGTGGAAAGTTTCGCTACCATTTTAAAGTTCCTCTCCAATTTTTTTAAAAAATGGATCGACTTCTTAAAAACCCTTTCCAACACAATATAATATTTTGTAGTTGGTCTTGATCACACAGCTATTGTTTTTTTTTTTTTTAGATGCCTGACTTTGAAAACTTCATTGCATCTTTAAATGATCAGGGTTATTTCTTGAAGAAAGGTCCGAGATTGTATCAGCTTCAGACAATGTGAAGTAGTTCAATACCTAAAGAGAACTGTTCACTAAGAAGAAGAACGAAACGCAGAGGATTGCAACTCATTTGTATTTCTTATTCAGCTGAATTCTTGCCTGCTAATAAGTTTGTAGAATTCAGGCGTTGGTTAAAACGATCTGAAACAAGATTAATGTAAATGTAAAAAAGGGCAGAAGAAGGTGACTTCCCTACTCCTCCTTGACATCCCTGAAAAGGGTTATGTGAGAATCTGATAACTCAGCTGGATGGTATGTGTTGTGATGCAAAGGATATGGGAAATATTTCAAATACTGGATGAGGAAAGTGAAGGGGCTTTATTCATCTATGTATTGACATGAATCAACTCGTTTACTAATTATAATACTTTTGAAAGCGATATATATATACAGTAATGTTTCAAGCCATTCTTGTTAAAGTTTTGCCTGATTTGAGTAATTTTGTTAACCCTGTTATTGATTTATGAATATGGTCTATATTTTTAAGTCAAACTGCACTTGCATTTATTTAGTCTTCTGTGAATGAGCAAAGTTCTTCATGTTCTAAATATTATACCATTAAAAGAATACATTGTTGGATTATTTAAAACACCTAGTTTGGTAATTCTCCATTTGACAAAAAGTTGAGTATGCGTCAATATATATAACATTCCACCCATGAACCAAAAGGGGACGTTTTGTATGTGGAGAGCCCTCTTAGTTTATTATCTTAGTGAAATGAAAGAGAAAGGATACATGTCACATTGGGCAATGCAATAGCTGGACTCGGTATGGACAAATTTCTAGTGCTTTTTTTCCCATTGAGAAATAACAATGGCATTGTCTGCCACTTGTGTAATATATGTATAATTTTGGAAGTTACAGTATTAGTTGATTTCATTTATTTATTTTTATTTATTTAGCAATTTTCTACATTGCCTATCACATCTAAGCAACTCGGGGCAGTGATATAAAACAACGTGATATAAAATGACCAAAAGGTAGAGTTATAAACAGGTTAAAAAGGTTAAAATGTGTAAGTTAAAAGTAAAAATCAAAGTTAAAAAGTTAACAGAGCTAATAGTTAGCAAGTCGAAGGGAAAACCCTTAAGCAACCAGCCATCCCCAGGGTTTCATAACATTCTTAGACACACACACACACACACACTCCATGCTAATTGGCAAAGCCAGGTCTTAGCATCCTTCTGGAAGGCCAGAAGAGTGGGCTTGCCTCACACCTCTGGAGGTAAGAGGTTCCAAAGGGTGGGGGCAATGGCAGAGAAGGGCCTCTTCCTAGATCCTGCTGGTTGAAATTTTTTAACCAATGGGATCTGCAGCATATCTTCCCTGCCTTATGGGGAGGGGGTAAGGAAACAGGTTGATGGTTGTTCAGGTAACCGGTCTCATGTCATGAAGGATTTTAAAAGGAGTAATACCTTCAATTGGACTTGAAAGCAAACGGGCTCCAGTGCAGCTTGTGTAGCAAAGGTGTTAAATGCACTCCCTAATGCTCCAAATTTGGACAACCTTCCAGTCAGTAGTACATTTAAACACATCCTTTGGCAGAGGTAACAGATTTCAAATAGATACATCTGGTTAAAAATCTTAATTGCTTTGGGAATGATTTCCATGGTTCATTGCAAAACTCTGGTGTAAAATATTCTTAGACCTTTGATAGATCTATCTAGATCAGGGATGTCAGACTCATGTCATCACGGCGGTGTCACATATCAGGATTTTTTCCTCCTTCACTAAACTGGGACGTGGCCAGCGCGTGACACATCTCGCCCGCAATGGGAGTTTTGACAGCCCTGATCTAGATTTTCCCACAGATTTTCAACAGTGAAGTATGAAGACAATAGTGAGTCTTTCAAACATTTTCTTTCATGTAGATGGTTGATGTGGTTATGTTCTGGACATTTTTTTTTGCTGAAATATTCAATGTCTTCTCAATTTCAATTTCTCTACTATTTTACATTTGGGGCTGATAAGAAAAGAAATTCAAAATCGCTGGATTGTGTCAGATACCTATCCCTAGTCTAGAAGCTGTTTATCATTAAGGTTTTGGCAAGAAGGTGGAAAACAATGTATTTTAGCTGGCTTCATCTTCGTGATTTCTTGGCTAGGCTAGGGCTATCAAAACTGGGCTTCAAAAATCAGGTCACCAATCAGATGGCAACAAAATGAATAATGTACATTGCTGCCTGGTGGTTTTCTGGATTGTAGCAACCTAGATACGATAACTCTGCTCTTGATTCTATTCAACTGGCTGCCATGACTTCTGTCCCACAGTTCTAGTAACTATCACCACTCCATTAGTGAGAAGTTTCACTGGTCATCTACAAATACTGTGTACTCTACTATTTACAATAGATATATGTACATTTGATTCTACGGTAAACGATGAATACCAGTATTGATATTCTGAATAAAGTTTACATATTCTTAAAACAAAGCAACTTGTTCATTGGTAATGTTTAATGCATATTATTTTTAAAGACAAGGATAATAGGTCTGAAAGAAAGTCCAATCTTAGAGTCTATAGCAAGTGGCATCACTGAGTCACTAAGGCCTCTTGGGAGGGATACCAACAAGAAATCCCAGTGCTAGGCCAGACAATACAGTTGGAGAAATGTCTGGGAAGGGACTGGCAAAGTAGGTGCTGAGCTAGACTTGTCTTTTTTTTTTTAACCTTCACTTTTTGGGAAAAAGCTACGGTGGGCATTGCATTGATGCAGAGCGGTGTATAAATATGCCATGTACATGAGCAGAGTATTTTTAGATTTTGGAGGGCTTCTGAAAGTTCTTCAACTTTTTAAAAACTGTTAGAAATGATGCCACTGATTTTTGGTAATGTGATTTATTGAGGGTTACAGAAATGATATTCCATCCTAGCTTTACATAGCTCTAGGACTCCTGCTTACACAACCCTACATATTACATATTTTGCAGTAGTCAAGATTCTACCTCTATATATATATGTAGTTGTGGAAAATGAATTGAGAAAAAAAATACTAAGTTATCTGTTTTGGACCTCTCAATTTTTTAAATCTATGCTTCGCTATTTTTCTACCAGCTCTTAAAAACCAAAGTACATAAACACACTCCATGTGAAGAATAGTAATTTAATTTATAGTTGTGTTTTCCCCAGTGCCAATCTTTAAATATGTGATAGATCCTTCTTACTGATTCTGTGCTGATACTGTAGTAGGTTTTTTAAGTCAAGACACCCTTTCCACTCACCTACATTTTCAGCTGTCAGCACCTGCCTTACATACAGCCCTGCATTTTCTCCATATTCATGCAGTTTTATTAACGTCCCTTGGGGTCAAACTCAACGTCCAACAACTATGAAGCACCCGTGTAGTTTCCTCAGCTTCGATGTTGATCACTAAAAGCCAGGTTTTTTTTTTTTTAGTGATCTACCCTAAAATTATTAAACCGAGTCTGATCCTGCTTACTGTTTTGGAGACCAGCCCCGGCCAGCTGTATTTTTTCACATGCTGTGCTTGCAAAAGGGCTGCTCTACTTCCAATTTATTTTATTTTCTGTGCCTTCAAGTTAAGTTGTTGACTCCTGGCAATTGCCTGAACTAATTTCTGTAGGTTTTGGGTTGTGTTTTTTGGCAAGATTTCAGACTGGCTGAAAGTCATCCAGCTTGAAATGGCAAAATGTACTCTTTTGATTAAAGAAAAGAATATAAATACTTTTGTTTCCATTGCTTCTGAACTTTGTGCTTGAAATGGAAAAGAATGAAACTTTGATTTTGGGTTTTACCAATTAGACTGATTATAGAAATGGCTAGTTTATATTATGAAAAAAACAAAAAGTTGTGATTTATTTATTTACTGAATTTATATCGCTGCCTATTCACCCATGGCGACTCAAGGTGGCTTAACAATGTAAAACCATATTTAAAATAAAAAAACAATAAAAACTAACATAAAGAATCAAATAAATTAATAAAGTACAATAGAACATTTGATTTGATATTAATGCCCTATTTTACTGCAACAGTCGGAAGTCCATGTTTTTTTTTCCTAATCCTTCCTCACTTTTCTTCTCCCTCCCCCCCTTTCTCCCCACTGTTTTCCTATTTTCTTTTGTATTTTGTACCTTATAACTCAATAAAAATGTTAATGAGGAAAAAGTCATCCAGCTGATTTTTTTAATTATTTTTTTGCCCAAGGCAGAACTATATCACTCACGATTTCTAGCCTGGCATCTCCATCAAAGTGGTTCCAGTTGTGGTAACCCAAACTGGTTCTCGGTTCAATTATAATGTGGTGTTTTCAAAGAAAAGCTTAAGCTTCCACTGTACTAAACACGCACTAGGCGGGGAATTTATTAATGAAGAGAAGACTGCACACAGCCCGCAGGAGCCACTCTTCCATCTTCGCCAGCAACGCTGCTGTCCCTTTAATAAGCGGGGCGCCTCTTGCCGTAAAGAGCAGCGGGGGCGTCGTAAAAAGCGGGTCCGCCCGGAGCGTAAGGGAGAAGGTGGCGCGGAAGCGCGCTTGAATGGAGGAAGGGGACTGCCAACGGCGGGGGGAGAGCAGGAGGGGAGGGGCATGTTTCAATTCTGCCCCTCCTCCTCCCCCTCTTCTTCTTCTTCGTTGGTAGAAAGGTCTTTTCCCTCCCCTCCCCCCCCCGCCTCAACCAAGCCATGCTGACCGCGGCTTGGTTGGTCAAAGGCAGCGCTTGGGGGTGGGGTGTTCTGCGGAACGCGAGCCCAGGACGGGGCTTGAGGGCCACCGTAGCAGCAGCCACCGCCGCCGCCGCCGTGAGGAGCCGAGGAGGAGGCAGCGGCGAGCCCTGGAGCGGCCCTCGAGCCGCGCTGGCGGCGGCCTCCTCCAGCAGCCTGGCGGAGTGTCGGTCGCCGTCTTGCCCGGGCGCGGGGCGACGTCTGCTACTGCGCGTGCGCCCGGCCAGCCCCAAGCACCTTCTAGGCACTGCGGCTTGGGCGCCCCCTTTCGGTTGCTCCTCCGGCGGACTTGGGCAGCCTCACTGCTCGCGCGCCGGCTGCGGGGGGGCGGCTCGGCGGCGCGCGGCGGAGTCCTCGGAACGACCCGATGCTGGCAAAGCGGAGCAGAGCAAAGGATTCGCCGAACTGGTAGGGGCGGGCAATGGGCAGGCGGCTCCTTTCCCCCACCCCTCGGCTTCTTCTTCCCTTCCGTCCCCGTTGACAGGACGGTCCCTATGAAATGCAGGTTGTAGCGCTTCACAGCCAGCGGGGCTCACCCAGTGGACCATGGTGAAAGAATTCTTTCAAAAGTTCTGCAAAGTAGAAATCTCGCCTTGGCTTTTGGGCTGCCCCCCCATGCACGGGGAAATAATCCCGAGCGAATATTTGCCATCCCAAGCGATGCCCCCAGGAATCAAGACTGACCTCTGCAAGTACTTTCGTGTGAAAAGTAAACTCGCTTTTGATGTGTCCTCCCCACTTTAGTTTACTGCATTGTCATTGCAACTCGTGCAACGTAATTGACATTAAAAGAAAGAAAGAGAGTTCACTTTCTGGAGAAGGTCCCCTGGCCTCTTCTTCCCCTTTGATATGTGTGCTTTTGAACCACTTCCATTCCCCCATATTCGTGGTTGTGCAGATCATATCACTGGCGTGTGTGAAATTGCCCTCATCGTGTGGTTTTCGTGCTGAGATAGCTGTATACAGGTAGTCCCTGGCTTACGACCACAAAGGAGCCCAAAACCTATGTTGCTAAGTGAGAAATTTGTTAAGTGAGTGTTACGACCCCCTCTTGCAACTTTTCCTGCCACAGTTGTTAAGTGAATCAGAGCAGTTAAGGTAGTAACACGGTTGTTAAGGGAATCTGATTGCCTCGTTGACTTTGCCGGTCAGAAGATTGCAAAAGGGATGACCCCCGGGACACTGCAACCGTCATAAATGTGAGTCAGTTGCCAAGCGTCTGAATTTTGATTACATGACCACGGGGATGCTGCAATGGTTGTAAGTGTGAAAAATGGTTGTAAGTCACTTTTTTTTGGTGCCGTTGTAACTTTGAATGGTCACTAAGCAAACTGTTGTAAGGTAGTCCTAGACTTAACAAGAGTTAATTTGGTGATTGATGGCTGGAACTTTGAGGACCAGTTGTAAATACCACTCACTCAGTGCCATCGTAAATTCGAAGAGTCACTGAACAAGTAATCACCAAATGAGAATCGCCCATAACTTTGGCTGATGTGCTCATAATTTAATGGTGAAGCATATAAATAGTGGTTTAAATGCACACATGAGCTAAAAATGGTTATGGTATAAGATGTATAATGTGGTCATGCCTGTCCTCAATTACTAAAGCATAATTTACTTGTTTGCATGAATTGGTGTGCTATGGTAAGGGAGCCATGGCTACATATGTTACAAGGCACTGTAACTTTTTGGAAATAAAGAAGAAGTACTTCTCATAATCCAGGGGCCATGCATTTATCTGAAACAAACTCTAGGATTCCACACACCCCTCTCCCCAGGAATAATTTATCTTTAAAACTGGAGAGGCCTCCTCAATTCATGAAGAGTATGGTGATGGATTTGAGCAAGGGAACTGTCTGAAATTCAGGATTACCTTCTTTGGAGGACAAAACCTGTACTTGTCTAAGGTTAACAGTTATTTGCAGTTTTTACTGGCTGACATCAAAGACGATGTGGTTTTTCATTTGGTTATTTGGGGATAACTACCGTGTTTCCCCTGTCTTATTTTTTTTTACCACCAAAAAAGGCACTAGGTCTTATTTTTGGGGGGAGGGGGGATGTCATCCACTGACTTAACTTCACTTGTGTACGTCGCCCCTGGCCTCCTTTTCACTGTCAAGAGGCCTTCAGGAACTTTTTCTGCGGCCGGCAAGGCTTTCCTGAAGGCCTCTGCTGCCAATAACAGAGCTCTGGATCGATCCAGAACTTTGTTATCAGCTAGAGAGGCCTTCAGGAAAGCCTTGCCAGCCTTGCTGGCTATAGAAGAAATGGGCCGACAAGGCAGGTGTAGGGGTGTGAGAGGCCTGGCTACAACTGTCCAAAGGTAAGTAGTAGGGCAGTTCCACCATCCCACCTCCACCCTAGCTTAATTTTTACCCATGCACTCTGGAATGGGCGGGATCTTAATTAGGGATATTGGGGGTGGGGGTAGGGCTTATATTGGGCACATGTGTAAAAATCAAGCAAGAACTTACTTTCATGGTAGGTGCTATTTTCAGGAAAACATGGTAGTACATTGTAGAGAGGAATAGTCCATTAGGTTGAAAGAGTTGGTAGGAAGATCAGTGTTTCTGTTTTATGTTGGGGTTGCTGGCTAGAGGTTGTATAAATGTGAACTTCATCACTATTTGACAAAATTTGCTTTTCGGTACTCTGTTGGCAACTTATATGATTATTCTTATAAATGCCAACTTATTTTCCACCCTTTTTTATTAGATTAGTATATTATTTGAATATATAATCTGCCAGAACTTCCTAAGAATGGCTAAATGTGCATAGAGAATGGTGTAAGATGAAGTGATGTATTAATGAATATATTACTGGAAATGAAGCATATAAGAAGATAGTGTTCCATAATAAAATCTTATTTTTTTAAAAAAATCATAAATATGCAATATGTTGACTCAAAGCTTTTTGTGCAAGTGAGAACCATATTTGAAAAGTTGGTGGGGAAACTTTTAAACTTGATTTTATATGTAAGACCATTATTTTAGCCACGGTGGCACAGTGGTTAGAGTGCAGTACTGCAGGCTACGTCTGCTGACTGCCGGCTGCCTGCAATTTGGCAGTTCGAATCTCACCAGGCTCAAGGTTGACTCAGCCTTCCATCCTTCCAAGGTGGATAAAATGAGGACCCAAAATTGTTGGGGGCAATAGGCTGACTCTGTAAACCGCTTAGAGAGGGCTGTGAAGCACTGTAAAGCGGTATATAAGTTTAAGAGCTATTGCTGTTTTATTATTTTGCAGGAACTTTAATACTACAATTTTTAAAATAAAAAGCACACACATGTTTTATTTTAAAAATTATATTCATTCATTCATTCATTCATTCATTCATTCATTCATCAATAGAGAGCATTTTAACCCTGAGATTTTTATGGCAACATTTAAAAGTTGCATCTTTTGGGGGAAACAATTAAAAAATTGAATTTGCTTTTTCAAAGGGGGTGAAAAATGCCATGGAATTTTTCTCTTCTAGAGGAGGCTAATTGACGTTCAGTGGCATAGCTCTTGCTGCTCAAAGGAGTCTGTATTAGAAGGGATGGAGAAGCTGCAGCAGAGTGAAAAACTGAATGGAAGGGCTTTAAGAAAGTGGGTAGTTTGGAAAAGATAAGGCTGCAGGAGAGGAAGAAGCAAAAGCTGCTTAGAGAAACAAGTGCAAAGAAAGGAAGCTGCAGAGGTGAGCAAAATGATGGGAAAAGTTATGAGAAGACAAACTGTCCCAAACTCAATAAGCAAAGCTGCTTGTGTTGCAAAAGCAGCATTTATGGGACGAGGCAATCAGTATGGAAAATAAAGAGATTGTTATTGATCAAATCCTCCCCCTCTTGAAAAAAGGGGATAAACCTTTCAGTCAGCCAAGTAATACTTATTAAGAGATCTTAAGGGAAGAAAATAAGCAGAGGGAACTGGATAAAGAGATTTAACGTCAACAGGGAACTGAAGTGTTCAAACAGCTTATAGTTTAATTCCTAAGGACTTTAGCTTACCCTGTTGTGCACAATTATTAGGTTGTATTTTGGAGGATTAATTTTATTATTGAACAACTACAGTGCTCTCCTTGGTCAATCCAAAATATCAATAAATCTCAAACTTGAATATTTAAGAAAGTAAAAGTGAGAATGTGGTGCACAATTATTGGGCAACTATTAGCGTGCAGATTATTATGCAACTAAATGAAAAGCAAAAAATTGCCCATCTCGCTCATTTGTTTGCATCTGTTAAAGTGAGAATAATAAACAAACAACTCAAAATGTACAAATAAACATTTCTGACATTTCAAAAAATATATCGGTGACCAGTATAGCCACCTTCTTTTCAATAACAGTCATAAGACTTCCAATAATGGAGTCTGTCAGTTTCTTGATCTGTTGACGATCAACTGTTTGTGTAGCAGCAACCACAGCCTCCCAGCCACTGTTCAGAGAGCTGTACTGTTTTCCTTCACCGTAAATCTCCCATTTAAGAAGGGCTCACAAGTTCTCAATATGGTTTAGGTCAGGTGAGGAAGGGGGCCATGTCATTATGCTTTCATCTTTAAGGCCTTTACAAGCCAGCCACTCAGTGGAGTACTTCGATGTATGCAATGGAGCATTGTCCTGCATAAAAATCATGGTCTTCATGAAAGACTTTTTCCTGTACCAAAAGTGTCTTCTAAAAACTGGCAATAAGTTTGGAGTTGATTTTGAGTCCATCTTCAACCTGAAAAGGTCCAACTAGCTCATCTTTAATAATACCAGCCCATACGGTTACCCCACCTCCACCTTGCTGGCGTCTGAGTTGAAATGGAGCTCTGTGCTCATTACTGATCCAGCCACAGGGCCATCTGTTTGATCCATCAAAAGTCACTCTCATGTCATCAGTCCATAAAATCTTTGAAAAATCTGTCTTCAAATATTTCTTGGCCCAGTCTTGCTGTTCAGCTTACACGTCTTGTTCAGTGGTGGTTGGGTTTCAGCCTTCCTTACCTTGACCGTGACTCTGAGCACTGAACACCTTGTACTTCTGGGCACTCCAGGTAGGTTGCAATTCTGGAATATGACAACACTGGAGGATAATGGGTTCCTGGTAGCTTCATGTTTGATTCTTCTCAAATTGTTGGCAGTAATGTGTGTCTTTTTTTTTCTCAACACGTTTCTTCCATGTTCCCTGTCGACTATTTGCAACAAAACATTATGGTTCTATCTTAGCAATTTCAAGAGCGCTGCATACCTCTGAAAAACTTTTTTTTTTTTTTTACAATTTTTGCCTTTTCAGTGTCAGTTAAATCTGACATCTTTTGTGGCCCATTTTTTCCTGAGGAAAAGGAGCTGCCTAATAATTATGCACACCTTGATATAGGGAGTTGATTTCCTTAGGCCACACCCTCTCTCATTACACAAATACACATCACCTGATATGCTTGTATTCAGTAAGCACACACGTTTATACAGCTTGGAGGTGGAAATATACATAAAAATGATGATATAGTCAAAATACTTGCTTGCCTGATAATTGTGCACACAGTATATATATGCCTGAGGAAGATCCCTACGTTCTTCTGTCAATTGTTGAGTGAGTTGCTAACAATGGAACTTAAAAGAATTTGTTCAAAGTTTGATTAAAAAGGGACCTATAGGGAAGGAGCTCCTACATATAGTGTCTTGAAAAACCCTGAATATTTAAACGTCTAAAATGGGGCCTGGTTATTTCGGAAGAAAGGAGGAAATTTTATATGGCGTTTGGTACATGAGAGATACACTTGTTAAAGAAATGATTATATGGAACCAAGATATATAACCTGGAGGAAATAATAGAATTTTGCTCAGTTTTATTTTCTATTTCTCTCCGAGTTAAAGTTGAAAACAAAAGCAGCCAAATAGAGTAATGGGATCAGAGAGGAGTTGCCTTTAAATATGGCAGGTCTGAGATAAATCCTTCAGTCCTGGATACAAACAGTGAAGTACCATTTGTGTTGAAAACTTAGAAAACCCATAAAACTTCCAGGGAAAGGATCTAGAGATAGTATGTTATAATAGTTGGGAAAATGGTCACATGGAAACTGTTATTTCAAGAAATCAATGGTTGATTTTTAAAAAAAGCAATACTGCAAATGATTAGTCACAAAAATGTTAAATGAAGAGGTGATGCAGATTCTCTTTTTTCTAATCACAGTTAAGTTATAGGGCAAGGTAGCTTGTGACTGTTGGTAACCTAAATTTTTTGGATTGGTGGACACAGGTGTCTTATCTACAGTATCATAAACTCAGAATTGGTGTGGGTGGGGGAAACATGGTTTCTAGCCAGTATGTCAAAGCAGAAGGTTGGGAAGTCAAGATCCTTTTAGATTACCAACAAGAAAAGAATCTCAGTGGTGTAGACATGAGAAGGGTTTCTTGAAGTAGGCATAACCATCTCAAGGAGATCTATGTGCTGCTTTGTGTTCTGAATATTTGAGAAATTCAGAGGAGTTGATATCTGTATAGCTATATCCTTTTTATTAAATCTGAAAACCAATCCATTTGCTGTTTAGTAGAATAATTTTTACCTTTGATGTAAGAATCCCCAAAGAGATTTGCAACAATGCAAAAGCAAATCAACCTTTTTTCATTTGGTTAAAGTCATGGCCCATTTTTGTTGCTTATTGAGTTTCAGAGTGTAGGAATTTGTGGGTTCTTCAATGATGGAGAAGAGACGGCTCTTGAGTGGGAGATGGGAACAACTGGTTATCAGAGCCAAGCCTTCTTTTTGAAAGTTAAGGAAATTCCTAGAAAAGATACATACATTCCAATGCAGCAATTAAACACCTTAAACATGCAAAGTTTACCTCTTACCTTCCATAATATCAAAGTGCATTAAGTTCAGATTACTTATATTTGTTTTGTAATAATTTGTTTTCTATGCTATTTCTTTTTTGTTGTAGTATGAAAACCCTTGGACTGTCCCTAATCTACTTTCTATGGCAAGGATTGGTTTGGCACCTATTTTGGGCTATTTGATTATTGAAGAAAATTTTAATGTAGCACTGGGTGTGTTTGCCCTGGCTGGAATAACAGATCTGGTACGTCCTATATTTTTCTTTAAAAGTTGAGTTGAGAAATATTTTCAAATTCAGATCCTTAGTTCTTGAATCTGATTTTATAATCGTGTATTTTCAGGAGCTCTTGTAGGAAAAAAAAGATAGATATAAATCTGGTAGAAATTTAAATGTTTGGTTTCTTTCCCATACTATTTGTCTAACTTGCTTTTTCAGTTGGATGGCTTTATTGCACGAAACTGGGACAACCAGAAATCTGCGTTGGGAAGTGCCTTGGACCCTCTGGCTGATAAAATCCTTATCAGTATCCTATATGTTAGCCTGACATGTGCAAATCTTATTCCAGGTAAGCAAAGAAGCTGTCTTTTCAATGATTCTTCCTGTTGAATGATTTAAAAATAATGAATTGTTAAATATCAGAAGCAAATCTCTTCCAGTTTATTGGCACAGTTCAATACCTCCGTATATTGATACCATAGTTATAGTATGTAAGTATAAATATAACTGCATATAATAGTGTAAACAAATCCAATGGAAAAAAATGCAATATACAAGATGTACCAAAAATCAGGCCCCAGGGGCCAATTTTATTAATTTTGTTTTTCAGACAGAAGGTTACCATATTTAGGGATGCTCAAAATCATGCGTAAAACGAGTAAGGAAGGGATTAAAAAAAACTGCATCCAATTTGAACATTTCATGTAATATATACTGCATAGTTAATTAACTATAAGACCTTATTTTTGGTATATCCTGTACGTCCATGTTGTTCATTGAACTAATTTTCCTGATTTCATTTTATTATCTAAAATAAATTGCTGAACCTTTGAAGGGTTTTAATAGCGCTGTAATTCTAAAGTGGTGGTTGATACAGTCAGAGGAGATTATAGCATTTGCATCTGCCTTACGTTGAAATTTATGTTGAGCTAAATATTCTCCCTTGAAGGCAGATTATGGTTAGCAAAACAATATATAGCAAACAGTAACAGATCTTGTGTATTTTATTCCCTTTTAGCTAGGTTGAGGTTATTTCCTTCTAGGGATAGAGGAGAGGCAGCTAAATGCTCTAGGTGTATGCTGCTTTTGCCCACGCCAGAAACTAAATGCATTGTTCAGTTACACAGCAACCTCTGAAATTTATCTGTGTTGTGTTTGTGGTAATGAGTAGGTAGATGGTAGAATTAAATAACAGTGATTTAGACTAATTAGTCTTGCAGCAATTCATATGGACATGCTGTGAATTGGAATTATTTTTATGTAGTCTCAATATGACAGCCTGTTTGCTGCAATGGTTGAGGAACCACGCTAGAAGACTGTGAGTTGAAGTCCCACCTTAGGCATAAAGCTATCTGGGTGGGGCTGGAGGGTGATCTTTGGCCACTTGCTCTTAGCCCTAGAAAGAAGGCAATGGCAAACTATTTCTGAAAATGTTGTCAAGAAAACTGCAGGGAATACAAGAGTCAAGAGTGAAATTTAGAGATTTAAGAAGACCTTCACTATTTGTTTTTCAGTCCCTCTTACATCAATGATAATTCTAAGGGACATTGCGTTAATTGCTGCTGTTTTCTATGTTCGATACAAAACTCTTCCTCCACCGGTAAGTATCCTACCATGTGTTAATATCTGTTTGATGGGATGTGTAAAAATTGTTCCCAAATGCAGGCTTGCTAAAATAGAAATCAGACATTTTTTTTCTACACAGACGATGATACAAACAATGTTTTTCTGTAACAAAGAATTAGGGTGTGAAAGGGATTCCTTCCTCCTTCCTTATTTGGTCTGTCTCTCTCTTGTTTTTTGTATTTCTATCCAAGACAGATCTTTCTTTGAATGCTTCCCTTATCTTCTTTCAGATAAAACTGTGGCTCCCAAAATTCTCCAGAAGTCTTGAACTGTGTGTGCTAATTTCTTTATAATATTTTCCCAGCCTTGAGTGTTTACAAAATTATAAAAATACTCTGTCTAACCTTTCAGTGAAAATTAAAGACCGTAATCTTTGTCCATCAGAATTTTCTTTGATCTTCCACTATTTCTTGATTAATACCTTGCTCCGCTATACTTGTTAAACACCTCCAAGTTTCCTAGTCATTTTCAAAATCTTGTTCAAGCTTCAAATTTGTCAACTTGTTTACTCATGTCATCTTTTTACCATCTATCTTCCTGTGACCTTCTCTTGCCTAGCATCTCATTCTCAGTTGTAGAAGGCTCTCCTCCTTTCCCATAGAAATGACATTTCTTTTGATGTTCCTACACTTTTCCCTCAGAATGCCTGCTTGATCGCTTCCCTCACTTCCATGTTGCTCCTCAAAACAACCTTTCTAAGAGGTGAAAGTACTGTCATTCCACTTATCCTATTGAAGTGAACCAAAATATTATTGAAATAATCACAGATCTTCTCCTGTAAGATCCTCTGTCTGCTCCATGGTTTCTTTAGTCCCATTTGTCTTCTTAATTTAAATTTCTTGTAAGCCATCTTCCTTCTATAGTGGATATAGACAATCTAAGCCCAAGGCATAGGCAGCCTTCTATACCACCCAAGGATAGCTCCATCCAAATTCAATGGCATAACTGTCAGATATTTTTTCCCCTGTATATTTTGTTGCTAAAATAAAGAGCAGAGACTCTACTAAGTTCTGCTGGTTTCATGCATTCATTTTGTACTTTAAAATTTGGTGTAATTGTGAAGGTGGCTGCCTAAAAATCAGGAGACTGTGAATTCTACACAGGGACAACAGTGTTCTAAAAGAGTTAAATATTTGAGTCTATTTTGACTACTTTTTCTGAAGCTGTGCAAACCCCAATCCCGTTTTATACTCTGTTTACCAACAGAATAAGTCAGATAAACGCATCAGAATTGCACTGTTAAACATCAGCATAAAGATGTAGAATAAATATGCTGTGCTGTTAAAAACATCTGCTCGATTTTATCCATTTGTAAATTCAGTCAAGGGTCAGGGTTAGGGTTAGGGTGTTGTTTTCACCGTGTTTATTAAAAGCAAGATTATTGTTATTTTTTTGTTTCTCACAGAAGACTTTAAGTAGATATTTCAATCCATGTTACGTCACTGCTCAGTTAAAGCCAACGTTTATCAGCAAGGTAAGAACAACAGTATGTCATGCCGTGCCCATTTGGCAAACTGAATATTGCCTCGCAACACCGTTGTTTTTTTTTTTGTTGCTTCCTGCAATTAGATTGTCTTTCATGACTTACCCAGGTAGTCCTCACTTAACGACCATGCTGCTTGAAGTTGTGATGGCGCTGAAAAAATGGACTTACTCTTATATCTGTCACAGTGCCCCTACAGTCACACAATCAAAATCCAGGCATCTGGCTAACTACCACATATTTATAATGGTTACAATATTCCACCCTCCCTCCTCTCCCATATCTATGCCCTTTTGGCCGCCCTGCTGGAAGATGGCACTACAGGTAGTCCTCAACTTACAACAGTTCATTTAATGACCGTTCAAAGTTACAACGGTACTGAAAAAAGTGACTTGACCGTTTTTCACAGTTACAACATCATTATCCCCATGATCATGTGGTCAAAATTCAGATGCTTGGCAACTGGTTCATATTTATGACCGTTGCAGTGTCCCAAAGTCATGTGATTCACCTTTTGTGACCTTCTAACAACCAAAGTCAATGGGGGAACAAGATTCCCTTAACACCCAGGTTACTAACTTATCAACTGCAGTGATTCACTTAACAATTGTGGCAAGAAAGGTCGTAAAATGAAGCAAACTTCACTTAACAGATGTCTCACTTACGAACAGAAATGTTGGGCTGTGCTGTGGTTGTAACTTGTGGACTACCTGTATACAACAGCCTCTTCATCTCAACCATAGAGGTAGTCCTTGATTTACAACCATACATCTAGTGACAGTTCAAAGTTACAACAGCTGTTAACTTATGACCATTTTCCACACTTAACAACAATTGCAGCATCCCCATGATCATGTGGTCAGAATTTGGACGCTCGGCATCGAATTTATGATAGTTACAGTGTCCCGGGGTCATGTGATCACCTTTGGCGACCTTCTGGCAAGCAGAGTCAATGGGGAACCGAGACTCACTTAGAACAGCCATGTTGATTAATAGTGATTCATTTAACAATCATGGCAAGATCACAAAGTGGTGCAAAACTCACTTTAACAACTGTCTCGCTTAGCAACTGGGCTCAACGTTGATCTTTAAGTCGAGGACTATCCTGTGCTGAGCAGCCAAAGGACAGAGGTGAGAGCGGGTGGGGGAAGTTGAGGCAGAGGCAGCGCTATTCCCACAAGGCAGGAAAAAGGAATTGGCCTCTTCTGGCTCAGCGATCCCCTGAAAGCACCTCTTGCCTTGGAAAAATCAGGGCTGGGAAGGACTCAGCCAGGATCAGCTTGAATCTGGGTGGGTCTTCACCTCATAACTGTGTGGAATTTGCTTAACAGGGGCAGCCAGGATTGTGGAAACTGCTGTTGTTAAGTGGTACAGTCACATGATATTTCGCTTACTGAGAGCTTCACTAGCAATGAGGTTGCTAGTCCCAATTAAGTTTGTTAAGTGAGGATTACCTGTAATCTTCTGCCCCAGACAGATGTGGAGGGACAGGGAATAGGAACGAGGACAATAAAGAACAGATGACGTCCATAACGGGAGAAAATGTTGAAGTTCTTTGTTCCCTGAAAGAGAAGGATGCCTGAATGGCAAAACAAATATATAAAGGAAGAGTGAATGGGCAAAAAGAAAAAAGAAGACAAAGTTGTGGGTGGAATGAGTTGATGGGATCCTCAGAGAGGAAGTAAAGGCAACCAGAAAGATGAATTTTGTTGGTGTAAATTAGATAAAGCTGTATTTTCTTTCCTGTATTATATCTTCCATATATTTGGTTTACTCTTCCTTTCTCCATTTCTGTGACTTACATTACATTGCTTACCCTGAAAGGGGAGAGCATCATGGGCACGTATTGTAGGTGCAATACTTTTTCTGTGAAAATGCACGGTGTGACCTTAGTTTTAATCTAATCTATTACCAGGTGAACACAGTTGTACAGCTCATCTTAGTCGCAGCTTCTTTGGCTGCTCCAGTTTTCAGTTATGTGGACAGTGTGTATCTTCAGACTCTATGGTATGTAAGGTTATAATTATTGTTATACTATTAGAAAGTGGAAAAGCAGGCAATGTAAGCAGTACAATGAAAGCTCAGGCAATTTTACTTACTGCATGCTGTTCGATATTGGCTAGTTTTGTGAGATTCAAGATAGTTCATGAAAGCAAGAAGAAGCATAATAAAAATAGGAGCAAGCACAGTAATGGTCTACCTAAAAAACAGCTTTCACACGATGAGCCCATAACGCTTTAACTGTTGCTAATACTTTAACTGTTCCTGTGTTAGTATTGAGTCTAGGTTTATTGAATTCAGAGATGATTTACTTCAAGGAAGATAGTTCCATCTACTTCTTCATTACTTCCTCTCCAATTCAAACACACACATACACAAATGTTTTGTGAATCAGCCAGGCACAGTTTAGGTTCAGTTTGTTAGTGGCAAAACACATGCATGTGTTCAAGTTTCCAGAAGCTTTAAAAAAAATCACATTTTTAAAAATTTCACAAATAGTAAAGATCATAAAACTCTGTGGATTCTTTAGTCACTTTAACACAGCAAATGAGAAAATATATAACTTTTGCTCAACAATTTGAACAATTTAAAGTCAAATTAGATGATCAAAAACTAAAAAGTGAACAGAATTACAACTCCGAGGTATCTTTTCTAAGGTTGATTTTGATAAAAAAAATATCTGTATATATGGGATTACAATCCTAGCAACATGAATTATGTTCTTGTAGAAAGAGTTTGTTTGATTTAAGGCAGAACTCACATTGCCTTGTGATGAATCTATATGGTATCATATGTCAATTAAAAAAATATTTTAGCTTAGGTAGGTTTTCTTTCGAACTTCTAGGCATTTTATGTAGCCCAGCGTTATACATCAGATTTTAATTGTCGTAGCAAAAACAGTTCCACCTCAAGTAGGATTCTTCCTAGTTTAAATAGGTTTTTAAAAATTGTGTTGCAGTGATTTTTAGACTTGACGTTATCTCTTTTTTGGCTTGGAAACTAAAACAATTATTTTCTCCCTGAAGGTGCATCACAGCTTTCACAACAACTGCATCTGCATACAGTTACTATCATTACGGTCGAAAAACAGTTCAGGTGCTAAATGACAAATGAAGTTTTGCAGAATGACTGCTCTCCTCTCGTTCAGTTTGTGTGGAGTTTATGCAGAGACTCTGAATGATACCTTTGCCTCAGTGAAACGATGCCTTCACCACGTTAAAATGAAGTTTTGATCATGTAAATAAGCAGGATTTTCAGTGTATTATTTCAGTCTAATACAAATAAAGATTATAATTTTTTACTGTACTGAACTTTCATATATATAAAGATAATTGTCTGATATTATTTGTTGATTGCTGTCCAGAAATTTGCACTTGGTGTGGGTCATTGTACTGTTTCCTTTGGTGTGTATCCCAAATGAAACAGTTATGTGAAATATGAAATAATTGATACAAGCAGAATTTAGTTGAGTTTTACTGTATTTAAAATGCGGTATGATCGATGGTACAGCCAGTTACTACAATAGATAAATGTAATACAGCAGGCAGTAAATTCTACAGAATATAGATACAGTATGATCTTTATAACCCTTCATACACTTGTCTTCTGGTTTAAATATTATGGTTGCAATAGCCCTTTAAGATAAAACTTGGGTCACTTCTTCCTTAGTCTAATATTGGGGCATACTCAATTTAGGAAAGAGCTGCTTTAACTGTTCCAGCGATGTGCTGACATAGTTTGTTTTGAAAGATGACCAATAAATAAAATAAATATACAAGCATGCAGATGCAAAATAGAGAATCAAAATAGTTGATTTTCCAAGGCAGCTTTGTAAGGGGCTGAGATAAAAGCGTCCCCTGAATAGGGCCTGCAGAATAATTAATGTTCTTTGAAACAGATTATTTGATTGTGGTTTCTTAGTTCTGCTTATACTGTAAACCTCTGGCCTATTTTACAGGCTGTTTATAAGGAGTATAACAAAATGAGTGCATATATCATTTTGTAAAGATTTTCAAAAGTGTAATAGGAAAAGTTGGCCTATTTATGTGCAATCTTTTGTCTCAATTCATCAAACTATTTTAAGGCTGTAGGAAAGGTGAAAGATTGATACAACCTGAAGAGTGACAAGAGTCTATTTTATAGCAACTTTTCTAATGCATTATTTGTCAGTAGAAGGGAAAATATTATGGCTTTGAATACATTTAAACTGTACTGCACATTTCTTTGGAAAAGTTTTATGCAAGCGCTAATATTTCTCATCAGTATGGTAAGCAGGTACCATTATCTGACAGCTGTCTTTTACCATAATACCAGACAACTAAGGAAATGGATATCAAAAGTAAAACAAAGAAGTCCTTCTTTGTTCTGGCTGACATGAATAAGATGTTGGAGTTTCTGTGAGAAAAAGTTTGCAAATCTGCATGTTAATGATTAGGAGCTGCAAATATTAAATGTGATATTTGTTAAAACATAGGAACTTAGGACAAACGTCTTAAGCTACTGTATATGTGATACTAATATTTTGTCCATTAAGTACAGGAATCAAAACAAAAGATAAAAATTATGTATATTTAGCTCCAGTTTCCACAATAGCAGAATTTAGCCTTTTTTTAAAAAAATGTTTGAGATGTTACAGAATTAGATCAGACACACTTAAGTACATGCAAACAAATAATGTTTCCTATGTGATAAGCAATTACCTGAATATAAAAATACTTGCTAGGCTGAAAATAAATGTGAAAATATTACATTAAATAGCTAAGTAGAAATGGTTTTACAGAAATGAAGGGCGACAGTTGAAATGGTTGGGATATTCTATGCATTATAGGATTTTTAAAAATACATTTTATATATCTAAATTTTATAAAGTTTGTATGCTGAAAATATTTTTGATAGTTTATACAAAATCAGGCTGCTGCAATCTGATTGTATTGCAGTATATAAAGTTTTCCCCTATTTCATTAAGACAAAATAGGAGATATGCTACACAACCATAGAATATATTCTTTCAACCAGATAAGCATAAATGTTGCCAATGCCAAAATGCAAGAAGTTTGAAAATGAATGGTATGCATGTTTGTCTGCAGTCATTGCCTTTGCACTTTCAAAATAAATCCTTTAAATGACTTCACTGCGTCTAATTGTATTGCGTGACCCCTTTTCAAGCATGACAGTGGCTGGTGCTGCCCTAGTTGTCCCTCATACTGTTATAATCGGTGCAAAAAGTTTAGGTAGGTTGCTGAATGGTGGACAACGACCACATCACAGGAAGTCCATATCAAGAGTCTTTAAGCTGATAAGAGGACATTCATATTTAAGGCCATGAATGGCTTTGTGCCTGACTCTCATGTTGAAATCTGCAGGAGAGGCGTTTTCTAAGATGCTTTACTTTTCAAAGGCCCCACTTGTTAAGAGACAAGCTTGTCCTGTGCATTTAAAGCCGGTTTCTTTAGCCGGGCCTCTAAATGATAGCAAATTTTGATACTTCTAATTTTAAGCATCTTTTGCACTTCTCATGCTTATTTTACATCAATTTAACTAGCAATAAAAACTATTTAAACTTTCCCCTGGTTCCCAGTCCTTTTAGGGATGTTGTCCTTGGCATGCCATTAGTGGCACTTGGTTAGGACAAAGTTGTGCAACCAGGTTTTAAATACAGGTAGTCCTCGATTTACAACAACTCAGTGACCGTTCAAAGTTACAACGGCACTGAAAAAAGTGACATGATCATTTTTCACTTTGAAGCATCCCCTTGATCATGTAATCAACATTCAGATACTTCGCAACTGGTTCATACTTACGACCATTGCTGTATCCTGAGGTCACTAAACGAATGGTTGTAAGACTACCTGTATACCTATCAAATTAATCTCTCTTATTCTCTGTGGGTTTCCTTCCTGGTTTTACCTATATCCGTAGTGGCGAACTTACGGCACATGTGCCGGAAGTGGCACATAGAGCCAATTCTGCCAGCACGCGAGAGGTCACTCGGAAGAGCCCCACAGCGCATGTGCCCCCACCAACCAGCTGATTGTTGGGTATCTGCCGCGCAGTGCGTGTGCAGGGGAGTCGTAAGCGCATGCGTAGAAGCACATGGTGCGTGCACGGGAGTCATGCGCATTGCATTATGGGTGGAGACACACACGCATGCATGCACACGCACTGTCGGCATGTGACGTAAGAAAGGTTAGCCATCACTGACCTATATGATGGCATTCAGCATCCTCGGGTCTTTGGATGGACCTAAATCTGCATTTTGAATCCCTGGTCCCAGCAAACAGAATACATGGTTGAGAATAGATCAGATCTAATGAGGAAAAGGAAGATCTACTATCTACTTATCGTCAGGGGTGGGATTCTACAGGTTCGCACCTATTCACTAGAACTGGTTGTTAACATTCTAAGCAGTTTGGAGAACCGGTTGTTAGAAGAAATTACTGGCCTAATCCTGTAAGGAAGGCAGGAAGGAAACATTCTGGTGTTGCTTACAGAAACTGCTTCTCCGTTAACCCTTATTACATTCTTGGCAGGACTAGACTTCCTGTCTCAGGAACGTCTCTGGAGTTTTTTCCCCCTCCTTTGTTGGTACTTTGCTTGTATGGAGTGACCATTCAAAGTTACAATGGCACTGAAAAAAATGACTTATGACCATTTTTCACACTTATGACTGTTGCAGCATCCCCATAGTCACGAGAGGCCAGGTGAGGAGATGCGTGCCTCGATGTGAGTGATATTGAGTTGGCCACACCCAGCCAATAACATGACCACCAAGCCACGCCCACTAAGCCATGCCCACAGAACCGGTTGTTAAAGAATTTGAATCCCACCCCTGCTTATAGTAAACAAGAAGAACATTGGAACAGTAACACCTCCAAGTGAAAAGAACAACTTCCTTCAGCTCTTAAAATCTGACCATTTCGTCCTCAGTTTGGAAGCAATAATGCCAAATATTTTCTTAACGATACCCCATCCTCCCTTGGCAGCCTGCTTAGATGTCACTGCTCAAAAACATCCTCTGTGGAGTGAAGGATGTATCGCTGGATTTATACATATGGAATTAGGAGGCACTTTCCATAGCCCAAATAAATTGTCATGAGTGTATAAACATCCAATCTGATACAAATAGGGAAAGATGGGAAGGAATGAAAGTTCTTGGGTTCCATGAAATACGTAGCCTAGGTGGTATTTTTTTTATTTCCTTCGATGAACTTTCTCACTCCGGCATTTGGACAATCTAACACTCGTACAATGTTATCCTGAAAAATCCATCTTAAAAAGAGAACATTTTTTTTTTGCTCCATGAAAATTTTCATCTCCAATGAATCTGCAACATTGAACAATCTCTCGTCAAATCCACTCTGGAGAATTGAGGGACTCTCCCAGGCATAGTGGCGCCTTCAAGAGGACAGGGAAAAACCAGTTTCTCATTCCTGCTGGCACTTCTGACGTTCTGGCTAATTGGTTGAATTTAAATACTGGAGTAAGTGTTTTCTCCTCCTAAAAATAGTTCGGATTTTGAGGATTTGTGGTAGTTGTTTGATATTTTTCACAGTTTTAAATATTGAAAAATAATTTCTGATTGCTTCAATTGGAGAAGAAATTTCACAAGGAGAAAGCAATACTAAAGCAAAATAATTGAAAAAAGAATTCCTCTATTTTTTTTTGTGGGGGGGGGGGGGAGAATTAGGAGGAGGAATAAAAATCATCACAGTGAGTAAACAGTTTACAACAATGGCCAGTCTCATTGCTCTGATTTATTTTATGGAATAATCAAAAGCAGGATTTTTATAAGACACTAGATGTGTGTTATATTGCTCTATGTGTGGTGTTTTGTGTTTTTTACACAGACATACTGACAGTAATATGGTAGCTATGAGAAAGACCGCACTTGTTGCGCACAGAGCCGCAAAGATAGATGTGTAGCTGGACTTTGTTACAAAGGTACTACAGGGAGGATTATACTCATTCCACCCTGTAGTTCGGCTTGATCCTGCCTTGTTCCAAGCAATTATACACACTTGGTAGGTAGAGCCAGGAAGAAGGTTATACAGAGTGTATCGCCTAGCGGTGGCATAAATTTCTCCAGAATTTGTATAATTCTTTTCGCTGCCTTTTGGACGGTAGGCAAGCTGGTAGAATCTTACTGCAGAATTTGGGGAGCACCAGTGGATCTGGGCTGAAGTGTCCCTCATTTCAGATACTTCGTGAAATCTTGGCGGATCTGGGATGGTGAATTCATCCGACATGCCTGGGCACAAGCAGGAAGACACCTTCTGGAGGTCAACGCAAGGCTTCTGGAGATGCCTGCATGGATCATAATCACACAAATCCACGGTCTGGGCTACAGATGCCACTTGCTGCTTTTCGTAATCATAGTCATCTGTATAATCCAGTAGACTATGAGTAGATGCAAGATTTGGAAGGGAAGTAGATTTGGTGGGATCCAGAAGGGATAGATCATTCTCACTGGAATCTGTTATCCTGTATGGAACGAACAAATCACTGGAAACTTCGAAGGAAGATGCTCCTGTCACTTCAGTAGTAAAACTGGGTAAGGAAGATTGGTGTGGTTTTGTGGTATCTTCTTCCCTTTCCTTCATTTCAGTTGTGCTCACTACAGGTTGCTCAGTAGAGAGTTTCCCTGGGGTTGCTGAGATCTCTGTAGTAAGAGATGCAGCAATCAGAGGGTGCTCAGTAGATCTAGGAACTGCTTGCTCTTTGTAAGCAAGAACGTCTGTCCGACTTGGACCCTTCCTTGTTAATTCTCTCCAGGTAAAAGATGTGCTTTGAGGGATGAAGGAATTGCCGAGAGACCTTTGAGGCAAAGTACTAGAGTCAGCCAATCTTTCTGTAGTGATGCTGGTAAGGATGTGGTATGGTTTGCCTTGAACCAAAGACAAGGCCGAATACGTGGTTGTCTGAGCTTGACACTGATCATAGAGTTTGGATAACAACATAGATGAAGATGTTTCTTTATCTTCTGGAGAAAAATAGCAGACGGTGTCTGATGCCCTGAAACAAGGTAGTAAGAGGCCAAATCAATCAAGGTGTGCTACAAGGTCGTAGATGTAACATGTAAAACGTCACAATAGTTCTATATCCTTCATTTGTGCTTCTGTATTTTTGGGTGAACAGTTTTTAGCATTTTTGTTCCCGTGCAAAAGTTCAGCTTTGCTTCTTACCTTATTATGTTATGACTACCTTGTGCTCTGAGGAAATAGGAGGAATCCAAGTGAGTTCTGGATCTATGGTGGATTTGATTGAGTAACTTTAAACGCCTTAAGTAAGGACTGTCTCCAAAGGTGGCATTCAGCAGGTTCTGACCAGGTCTGGAGAACCAGTAGTGGAAATTTTGAGTAGTTCAGAGAACCAGCAAATACCACCTCTGACTGGCCCCGCCCCCATCTACTCTCTGCCTCCCGAGTCCCAGCTGATTGGCTGGGTTTTCTTTTGTTGCCCTGCACAGGAGAACGGAGCTGGAAAGCAGGTTAGTGGGTGGGGAGGGAATGGGATTTTACAGTATCCTTCCCCTGCCACGCCCACCAAGCCACACCCACAGAACTGGTAGTAAAAATATTTGAATCCCACCACTGACTGTCTCTAGTTCCTTATCATCTACACCAGAGTTGTCAAAGACCGGATGCATCACATGCAGGCCACACCCACCCCAGCTCCGCGAAAGGAAAAACATCGTGATATGTCACGTGATGGCAACATGACGCCACGAATCTGACACCCATGATTTACACCTCATGTAATGTGAAATATACCAGTGCTCAGTCTCTTTTTCCATGTATGCAAGTTGCTGATGAGAACCAAATTACAACTGATGGACCTATGCTCCCCTATCTGAGAGTTGTTAGTCTTTAAATATGACCCCCATAAGCTTTCACAAAGGGCAAAATAGAGATAGGAAATATAAGATGTGACACCCTTTTGTAAATCAAACTCATATATTTGCCTTTGGTACATACTGCTGTTTGCTTTTCTGTCTTTAGATCTTGCTGATTCAAAGATCTGTTTTATTTTCAAATTAAAAATCCACACAATAGTTAATGTTAGCATTAAATGCCTTTGGACCCCATGTTAAACAACTCCCACCCTTTTAAAAGGTAATTTGGTCCCGAAACTGGAGTTACAGTATCTTTATCCTCATAACCCTTCTTACCTCTGTAGAATGACTGTGTCAGGGTTTGACAGCAACCAAGAAATTTCACAATGACAAACCAAGGGATTTCCATAGAGGTTGATGGAGAGGATGTGCGATGAAGTGAGATTCCATGGGCTGAAGTTGCTCAAGTTACAGCTAGGAAAAAAAATAAAAACAAAAGAAATAGACGATTGAATATCCACATTACACGTAGTTTTTGACTTACAACACTTCATTTAGTGACTGAGGTTACAATGGCACAGAAAAATGTGACTTAATGACCTTTTTTCACACTTACGACCACTGCAGCATCCTCAGGGTGACTTGATCAAAATTTGAATGCTTGGCAACTGACTCATACTTATGACAGTCACAGTGAACCCCTTTTGCGACCTTCTGACAAGCAAAGTCAATGGGAAAGCCCGGTTCATTAACTTAACAATTGCAGTGATTCACTTCACAAGCAAGGCCATAAAATGGGGCAAAAACCACTTAACAAATGACTCGCTTAGCAACAGAAATTTTGGGCTCAAATGTGGTCGTAAGTCAAGGACCACCTGCTTTGTTTGCTTTATTGTCATAAATGGTGGAGGGAGATTGTATTATGTACTTTTTTTTTCTTCGTTCTACATCTGTCTACTCTGCAGCCTCCTTGATTTTCTGACGTAAAAAAAAGTCTCATGAAATTTATGTTTGGGATTTATTTTGAGCCTATGAAGCCCAGGTGGCTGGAGATTGCTGGAGAGATGATTATAAAATGAAATACGGTTTCTCTTTAGTAATGCGAGATTCCATCCCAGGTATGTAAGTTACCATTTTTTCTTCATGTTTGATGAAAATCAACAGTAACTTATTTTCCATTAAATCCTGGAACATTTTTACAGGAGCTTATTACGATGAAAAACACCAGATGATTGAACTATATCCTTAGAGCTGAATCAATATCATTACAAATTTCACTAAATAGATTAAGGAATGAAGTCATTCAGGAGGAGTTTCATCCAACCTGACATCCTGGAGATATGTCAGTCCAACCAATTCTCATCCTCAAATCGATACAGTCAATTGGCTCAACTAAAGCAGCTTTGTAGCCCAATAGGTTTAGAAGGAAGCAGTTGAAATCTCAATTAAGGTAGACCCCTGCTAGTAAGTAGACACGGGAAATCTTACTTTTCAAATATTAGGGAGGCCACATGAGGCATGCGGTGGAATGACTCGGTTTCCACTAGACTTAGTGCATGGGAATCTTGGCAGTTCAATTCTCTTAGCATGGGCACATTGCGGAAGACAGCTGGATCCAGTCTTCTTAGCTTGGGCATTTGTGTTAGGTAGAAGGAGGTGAGCTGTGGCAGATCTTTGATCCAGTCCTCGTGAACTGGGAAGAAGAAGGAGGAGGTCAGATCAAACAAAGGACAGACTTAAGGTGATACTGACTTGAAGGCACAGATGGAACCTATGGACCTCAAGATCCTGAAATTCCCAGTGGAATTTCTAATTAATATTCCCCTTGGAGGACATGCCCTTCCTTACTTCTGCTCCAGGGAATTGTGCGCACATATACAGTTTAGAGAATAGACAACTTGGAAGCTCTTCAACCATGAACACTCTCTGGATCAAATCAGACATCCTTGCCAAGAATCTTCCAATAATTGGCTAGATTCTACTACTCACAAGTGAACATGGTGGATGGGGCTGTGGAAATGGTAATTCAAACTACCTGTTGACTCCAGGTTGCTTATTTTGTTCTGTATTGTAAATGAGAAACACAATTTACAGTAAGCCACTGTAAAAGCACACATACACAAATGCCCTATCAGGTAAGAACACTTAGCGAAAAATGTGGCCATTTGTTTCTAAGACTCTTAACATATAGGCATCAGGAGGAAAAAATATCTGGGAGCTGGAATACTAAATTTACTCATTCTTGGTTTTTTAAAAGTGAAACTAAATGTTGCTTTCCTAAACTTTCCTGAGAGTCTCACTGAACATTACTTTTGAGTAGTTCTGTAGATTTATTGTAAATGTTTAAATGTAATGTAAGTGGTGTATTAGGGATCTTTTAAAAGAATAATAATAATCTCATTTGTACAAATTAATAATTATTGTTTTGTCTCGAACAAGTGAAAGAAATCCTTCAAATGGGAAATTCACCCAAAGGATTAATGTTGTCTATAGTCAGGTTTCAGCACTGGAATGCAAATTCCAAGTTTCTAATTAAAACTGAATGCAACTGTATTATGGATCGCCCATTATCCCCAGACAAGGTAAGGCAAGAAATGTAGCTTAGCATACCTAGAAGTTAGAACTTTGGGAAAGACCATGTTTTGCCCAAGTCTTCAAAATTTTACAACCCCCTCTTTACTCAATTTGATGAGACTTGTTGTTTTTCCAGTTAGACTTTAACACTTACTCATCTCCAAGTAGGTTGCACTGAGGTCAAGGATGTTGATTGGAGCTTTTCTGACTTCTTCAGTGGACTCTGAAGGGTGCTGGGACACGTTCATTGCAAAAGCAGATCCCGGAATCCCCATTTCCCCATCTTTTCCCAGCCACGTGGAGGACAAGTTCAGGAAATGCAGCTGAGGATAGCAGGAGAAGGCGAATGGCTGGATCTCTCTGATGGGGTTTCCCGCTAGAGACAACCACCTCAGATTGCCCAAAGAAGAAGTAATGCAGGACGGTACAACCGAGAGCAAATTGAAGCTCAGATCTACGAACTGAAGACGCCTGAGATTTCCAGTCCCCCATATCATCTTGTGGATCTGATTCTGTCTCAGGGACAGGATTTGCAGTTTGGGCAGATAAGCCACACCTTGGCTATTTAATTCTGGCAGAAGATTGACACTCAAATCCAGACGTTCCAGAAGCTCCGGCAGACATTCAGGGAAGGAAGTGAGATTTTGATTCCGGACACGCAAGGTGATTGATGTCTGGTTCCTCAGCTCCTCGCAAGACAAGGTAGTAAGGTTGATGTTTTCCTCCCAGACATTCTGCTGAATCAGGAGGAACATCTTCACATCTTCTGGTATGGCAGGACTTGCCTTCTCTGTGGGTCTAGCAGCGATGATTCTGACAAGCAAAACTACCCAGGCCAGGAAGCTGGACATTGTGGTCCTTTAAAAACAACGTGGGTGTGAAGAGGAAGCTGTTTTCAAAGGATAGGCTAAGGGAGGAAAACAATATTGAGTACTACCAAAAGTTAATTCCCATAGAAGTACCCTCTAGTCTATTTTACAATGTCCATCCATTAAAATATAAGAATCTGTCCATATAGTGGGAAGAGGAAAAAAAATACAACTGGATTTGATCTTGAAATCCAGCCAGAGGCTCTCTTAAGTGGCAGATAGATTAACTACTAATTTGGATGGCTACTTTTTACTTATTAGAGTTTTATCCTGCCTTTATTACTTTTATGAATAGCTTAAGGCGGTGAACACACACAATGCTCCTCCCTCCTATTTCTTCCACAACAACAACCATGTGCAGGTGGGTTGAATCACCTTACGTCTTCATACATACATCTACATGTATGTGGGTGAACAAAAGGGAAAGAGGGTGGGCTGAGGGAGAATGTCTGGCCCAAAGTCAACCAGCTGGCTTTCATCCCTAAGGCAGGACTAGGTCATGCACTCCCAGAGAATAGAATGGAATAGAATAGAATGGAGTGGAATAGAACAGAATAAGAGTTGCTAGGGACCTGGGAGGCCTTCTAGTTCAACCCCCTTCTCAGGCAGGAAACCCTGTTTCATTTCAGACATCACCATCACTAAACTGACTTATCCACTATCTAGCCAATTATTGACTCTCCATTAACATTCATTAATTTCATTCAGACTACATTCATGTACATACACATATTATATGACTATCCATTTAGAAATATGTTCTAGGGAATGCGACTGACATTACTACACTATTTAACAATTTAATCCTAGGCTAAACCTACCTTGCCATTTCTCAAAAGTTTCCCTTCTTTGGAAAAAAAAGGGGGGGCTTTTTGTTTCTTTGACTCTGTTCTTGGCAGCTCATAAACTTTCAAACTTCTTTTGCATGTTTGAGCAAACTTTATAATGGAAGGTGGTGGCATGGACTGCAGCCGCTTTAATCTTGGTATATCTGCACAGGTCCTTTCTTCATTCTGAAACATCCCTGGCCCTCCACACATCGTAAAGTAAAGACAGTACCCTTCTAGTGCTTTTTTGGGAGGATTTGAGGGAAGTACAGAAATCCAGCAAGAGGGTAAACTGCTGAACAGAGGATTGTACAAGGTGACTGGCCAATTGTACAGACACCTCTTGACTAGCATATAAAGTAATTTCCCTTAAATTGAAAAAGGCAGGCAGCTTGTTCTGTGCTCACTGGAATAAATACATTTTAGATATTACATCAATGTATTGACTGTTGTAAAGCCAACAACAGATTCTACCGGCACCAAAGGGATGATTGTTGTTCAACAACAATGCGGTGCAGCTTCCAGATGAGCAGCCACAACTTTGCCACCAGTCCCGAAGATCGATTTTACAGCCCCCTTTTGCAACGCTCTGAAAATCGGACTTCAGTCTCTACTGAAACCAGTGTTGCGGGTGAAGCCTGAAGCCTCAGTGTCAAACCGTCTCACCAGACTTCTTGTTCCGAAAAAGCAAGCCTCGGTCCTCTTCTGCTGTGGGACACGAGGCCGAGAACAATGCCAGTAACATCTAGCCACTGGCCTGGAGCAAGAGAAGATGGGATACTTGTAGAACCCCCCTTTACCACGGAGGCGAGAGAGGCTCACCTATTGTCCGCTCCACCTGAGTCCATCTCCTCTTTCATTTAGCCAGATGAGACCTTTGAACACCACCCTCTGAATCAAGGGGAACTATCCTGGCTTCCCCTTCGCCATCAGTCTCTGTTTGAACTTACCTAAACAACGCAGAGTGTCTTGGGGAGAGGATCAGTGTTGGCCCTTCTCCCTGATTTCCCAGCACTTGCTTTATGCATTCCAGTGACTCAGAGCTGACGCACCAGTAGCTGTGCTCGTTTGCTCCTGGCCCCTCCAGCCCCCCCCCCCAAACAAAACAAAACCCGAGTGTCTGTTCCTGGTTGTGAGAGATGTGTTGTTCTACGTCTTCCCAGATGCCAGCCCCGGCCAGCCCACACCCTCTGTAGTCTCATCCCCCCCTCCAACCTCCGCCCCTCTCATTCTTTGAGTGGAGTTGGGCAGCTCCGTTCCCCAGTTAGTTGCTTCTGGTCTGTCTGGCTAGCTGGCCAGACAGACAAGGGGAAGAAAAAGAGTAGCATCGTTGCCTTCTGCAGCCGGGAGAGAAAAGAGATGGGCAGCAGAAGGAAGATGAAAGCTTGCTGAGGAACGTCTGCTGATAAGCTTTCCTTCCCAAAGAAGCCAAATATCTTGTTTCAACTTCCCTTCAGCTGTTTGTTCATAAAGGAACAAATTTGTATTATGCTGAGAGTTTGTATGAACTTGGCTAATAGCTGTATAGTCAACAAACCGTTTTATTTATTTCTAGACTTTTCTTCTGCCTTTATTATTTTTCTTTTTTATCCTTTATTCCTTATAGGCCAAGTGTGATTGGACACACAAGGAATTTGTCTCCAGTGCATAAGGTCTCAATGTACATACAACAAAGTGATAGGTCATATATCATATATCATAGTTTACAGTCATTAATCATAAGATATGACATTATTTTTTAACAAATAACACAAGGAAGTGAAATATTTACTACTCCTTCCTCCTCCTACTTTCTCCACAACAACAACCCTGTCAGGGTGGATTGTGCTAAGAGAGAGTGATTGGCCTAAAGCCACCCAGCTGGGTTTCATGCTTAAAGGCAGGACTAGAACTCACAGTCTCCTGGTGTCTAATTTGGTGCCTTCATCACTAGACCAAACTGGTAAGAAGTGAATTGTGGGATCAATGTAGGAATGCAGTTTGCAAAGGCCAGCAGCAAGCTTTATTATATATGTTGATAAGTGCAATGAGCCCCTCCATCATTTTATAACGAAAGGGGGAAAAAAAAGGGAAGATGAAGGTATCAGGGGGTATTTAAAAAGATACTAGGCCCTTACTCTGTCAACTGGTTGGGTTTGTTGTTTTTTTTGCTTTCAAAATTGCTCCTTTTTCTACAGTTTCTATATATTTAGCCTGCAGGCACCCTGGAACTACATGGGAACAATTTAAAAAGAATAATTTTGATTAGAATGGTTTGTGGCATGCTGTTACTTGGCTCAATTAGTCTCAAATTACCTCACTTTCATTTAAAACAACTGAAACAAAGGTTAAAAAAAAATTGGGCTACCGCTACAATTCTTTGAATAATGTTCAATTTCTCCATGCCAATATCATCCAGGGCAGGCATTATCAATTCCCTCCCCCTTTTTAGCTGCTTTTTTATAAAGGGAAATAATTTTGTGGGTTGGCTAATTGTTGTGCTGTGTTTTGTGTGTAGAGATCTAAAATCCGAAGGAGAAAGATAAAGGTGAGGAGTAACTGCTAGTGGAGAAAACCAGCAGGCAGCTCTATTCAAAGGGAAACCTGCAGCTGAGGGGCAGGATTTATGAGCTCACAGAATAGCCTTTAGCAGCAGAGGAATGCTGACTTTGAGAACAGATGCTAACATCTCCTTATCTTTGTCCATGTCAGTCAGTATCAAGGAAGCTTTGAGACATACCAGCTTGCCCACATGTGTAAGGGAGATAGGTTAATGGAGCTGTCTGGAGACATTTGACTCCGTCCCCTTGGTGTAAACAGACCTGCTTGTACTTTTGGAACAACCTTCTAAAGTTACAAGAATAAGCTGATACTACCCAACACTGTTCAAATATTTTACCAGCTCTGAAAGCTTCTGACTCTGATTAATTCTTTCCCCAGCCATTGTCCAAGGAAGACAAAGTCCAAAACTGCACAATGAAGTAAGCAATTCTGAGAAACTTATAAGCGTATGTGGACAAGATACCTGTTCACCTGGTCCTACATGAACGTTTAACCATGATCTGCGATTTAGCAGTACAGCTATCCATTGAACTTATGAGGTCCAGAAACACTGAAAACAAAGAAGATGTGGTATTTGGTGCTTTAGTTTTCAGCATACCAGTATTGCATTTATTTGTTTTTAATAAACCAAAGTGAGATGGGGCAGGAAATTTGATAGTCAGCAAGGGAATTGATAATTGACAGCCCGTGGTGCTATACACTGGAAATGTAAGTTTGTGTATCATGCAAATTGACATATAAGTGCTAATATCCAGACTCTAGTAGGAATCAGTCATAGTATCTCATGAAAACTATACTAATTCCCAATTTTAAAAATATTTCTTCTTCGACAAGTTTCAATAAATACAAAGGCACACAACATATAGATAAATTCAACCACGGTACCAACTGGAGAACTATTGTCATTTTAGAAATTTAGACCAAGCCAGATCAAAAAACACTAAAGAATTCCTAGAAGGTTGGCATTCAGACAAATCAACCATTAACAGGCTCATAGAGATAAACAAGATTTACACAACTTTTAAAAGAGATAATAAAAAAAGCAAAAAAGGAAGCAAAAAAGACCAGAAACATCCTTTCCAATAGCCAATACCTAGATAACGCAAGGTAAACAATCCAGAGAAAATCATACTGTCATCAAGAAGAAAACCATGCCCTGACCAATACAGCAGGGCAAGCTATTGTATATAACATGGAGCAAAACCCCACATTCCCTAGCACTGATGACTTTGGATAATGAAATGTAAGTAAGCAACCAAGTACAGAGAGAACCAAAGACTCCATAGTTAAATTCTGAGCTACATACATTCTCCTCTATTGTTTGATAAGACATATCAAACAAAAACATATATTCATCTAGAATAGAATAGAATAGAACAGAATAGAATAGAATAGAATAGAATAGAATAGAATAGAATAGAATAGAATAGAATAGAATAGAATAGAATTCTTTTATTGGCCAAGTGTGATTGGACACACAAGGAATTTGTCTTGGTGCAAATGCTCTCAGTGTACATAAAAGAAAAGATACATTCGTCAAGGGTCAAGAATCATCAGGTACAACACTTAATAATAGTCTAGGGCAGTGATCCCCAACCTTTCTTATGCCGCGGCCCGGTATCCCCAACCTTTTTTATGGCGCGGCCCGGTACCGGCATAGCTGGGCG